TTATATTTTCTCTAGCCAGTAGGATTTAAATTTTTTTCACACTTGACATTGGCATATACTGCATTATTTTGATTACTCTATTTATACTGTATGCCTGAAGTGAACTTTGAGGTGGAGGAACCTTTAAGGACCCATAGTTTACAGAGACGTTTATCTCGCCCCATATTTTGGGGACCCCCTTTCAGGTACAGGCACTGATGGTGCGGGGATTTCTATGTGCGGGAGGCCTATGTAGATTGTGCTTTTTGGCATGTCGTTGTCGCTGTTTATGCATTTTGATTAATTATGTTTCAATATGTTATTTTGGATGTTGTAGCATCATATGTTTATGTAGTCTTATTTTGAGGGTATGTAATGTTGATGCATGGAGGAAAGACTTAACCTATGATCATAGTTATTGGATATCTTTCATATTGTTGATGAATGTAAAGGACTTTGATCATATGTTTTGTATTAGTTAAGTTCCCATTTATGTAGTCTGTGGACATTTATGTATTTTGATACAATTATAATGGAATGGCTTGTACGTCTATTGGATAGACAAGTATGACGTCAGTATTTATTGAATTGTTTATTAGGTTGAGATTTCATGTGGGAATTATCCCTAGATGTTTGAAAAACAAACGAAGTGTTGTCCGTTTTGTTTGGACGATGTTGGTAGGAGATTATCACCTTGTATGATTGACTATCATCATTGTTGAGTGAAACAATGTTTTTTATGGGAACTCAATGGTGGTATGATATTTTAAATGCACTTAGATGTTTACACAATTTGTATGATTTATAATTACAAATTGTTTTATAAATAAAAATAATTTTAAGTAGAAAAAGTTATGTTTTCAAAAAGAAAAAGTTAAGTCATATTTTAATTCAACTGTTGTGATTGTAATTGCGCTTAATATCATACGTAATGATAACATATCAGATGCATACAATGTGTTACAACATGCGATTTTAATAACATTGGATGTAACTCTAAAAGATGTGAATTAAATTGTATTTTTTACTACCATAGGAGGACACAAAACGATATAATAAGCCACAATAGCCTTTTAGGCTATGCACATTCATTTGAATTTGCTTGGCCCGAGTAGGTGGTGCTGAGTTCCGTCAGGGGAAATACCACAAAATTGAAATGATTTGCCATTTCCAATTGAAGTATATTTATTCGTAAATGGATTTGTACGTATAGCCATTTCAATTGTGCTAATATCTTCTCCCCTGCTTTATCAGGTATGCAGGTGAAGCAGTAGAAAACCAATCCATTCAAAGATCAACTCGTTGATCAGTTATCACCACATCGTTGCCGAGAATGGCATAGTGATCAAACTAGTGATACGTTCTTTTCATCTTTTCTTTCTCCCTTGCAGGCTACTTACCATTTCAGCCATCATTACGGACCCTGCCCCTGCTCCCTACCTGGACTTATTTATTGTTTTATTCGAGATTAAGGGCTCAACCAGAGAAAAGGCCCAATAAGCCCAAAAGACCATTACTTAGTGAAGAGGAAAAAACGTTCATCCCACATAACTTGAGGATCTTGTAACCAACTGACATACGTGACTAGCTACTCAGACAATTGGGCTATGTGACATCAGCTGCTCAGAGCACCATGACCCCCATATAAACCAATGACTGACGAATAGGCACCTGCACGTCACAACATCTACAAGAGCTTAGCCTGACTATAGGTAACTCGCCCAAAAAGTAGCCGGTATAGGTTATCACTCTCCACCAATATAAATAAACACCACCATATTAAGATGGAATAAGTAAGGTACTCGTCTACTATAAATACAGAGTCATTAAACCCAGGGATGATCATCTTCCCATAAATATTTGAACTCTTATTGACTTAAGCATTGAATTGCCTCACAAGTACCCTATGTCTCCTCAAACTATTTCAAGATACCAACACTAGTTCAACCACCTCGCAACATAACTCGCCAACCAACTAGGCATCGGGCAAAAAACAAATTAGCCCGTATCATTCAACAGTAACAGGCTCAACTGTGTGTGATTCAGTATAATAAAATTTGGACAAATCACTAATGAAGAGTAGTTGAGAAAATCTTAAAAAAAAATATTGAAATAAATTTATATTAAAAAATGTGTGAATTTGTACTCATTAGTTTCTGTATGTTAACTTTTTATTTTTAAATAGTGAGGGATTTTATAATTTCTGAAGTATATACGAAAGGATGAAGGTTAACGAAAATTGAAGTGGAATGACACATTGACGTGGTCCATTTTAGAAGTTGACTAAAATGTATGTACGCGTCCAGTTGCGTTTTCTTGCGAGTAAACCACATTCTCGTCTAAGGATGACATCAGATTTGGCATAAGTCGATCTCGTTAAATTTAATTATTGACCTCCGTTAGTCCATTTCCTTGTATGTGAAACGAAATTGTCTATGAAAAGAGCAGGACAAAGATGAAGGAAAGGACTTGGTGATTCCAAATTTGGGAGGCTAACTGCTGCATAATGTCACTATGCTCCAAATGATTAGGCCTATCTAACAAAGTTTGTAGATTTTGGAGAATCCCTCATGTAAATCATATGTTCACGAAATCTTTTACTAATTCAAAAATTCATCTTATGATTTTTTGTTCAATCATTAAACACAGAAGTTTTCTTTGCTCTTTCAAAATAACATTGATTTTATATTGTGACGTGTGAATATTAGCTAGTGAAGGATGTAAATGAGTCGAGCTAAGTCAAGATTTAACTTAAAAATGAGTTAGTCTTGTGTAAAATATTTCAAATCTAATTTGACTTGTTAGCATGATACAAGATAAATTATAAACTTGGTCAGACTTGTTTTTTAAAAATACAAGGCTTGCTTTGGTCTATTAAGCCTTCAAAAAACAACATATTATATTCTGTAAAATATAGGTTGCGATTATTTTATTTATGGCAAAAGTTTCTTTTGTATGTTTAAATTAATGAAAAGTTAAAATAGTATAATAATTGAAGTCACATCACAATTCAAAATATTATTTTATTAAAAATAATAACATATTATTTGTTAAAAAAAACAAGTCAGACTCAGAGGTCAGATATTATAAAACAAGCTTATGACTTAATTTTTAATGAGATCTTTTGATGAGCTCAAACTTGTATTATATTAAAATCGTGTCAAAATAAATTAGGTCGAAGGCAGGTTAGGCAAACTCTAAAGTCTAGACCCCTAACAAGCCACGTGATCCATTTAAGCCAATATTTTTTTTTTCTTATTGTTCCTTCTCTTTCATACACAAAAATTCAAGAACGAAAACACGATTTGTCTTTTCATTCAAATAAATTATTCAGAATAAAAGCATATGGACCTCACCAAAAAAGAAAAGAAAAGAAAAAGCATATGGCCGATAACTTAAAAGAAGGACAACATAAAAAAAAAAAAAATTAAATTAGGAGAAGTTAAGTTCCTTTCAAGGTTAAAGATAAGAGGGAAATCTCATAATCGAAGCTAAATATTTGTGAGAGTGAACAGAAAATTCGATCACGATTATCCTAATTTTAACATATCTAAATAATACACAATACAAAAAATATTACAATAAATTATGTGCTATTACAAAGGAGGGAGGTTACACTTATTATTAAAAAGTTTTACAACTCTTATTACTAAATTAATTACTGCCATTTTTATCAATCCAACAATTATGATTTATTGGATACATTTATTAATTAATTATTAATTCTCAATAAATTATAATTGTTAGATTGATGGAAATCAACGGTGATTAATTTAATAATAAAAATTGTAAAACTTTTTGGTAATAAATATAACCTCCCCCGTTACAAAAAGGGAAAAATGTATATACTTTTAAAAAACATAAATTTAGGTCATTTTGAGAGAGATAGAGTCAAAAGAGATGTGAGTCCACTAAAAAAATAAAAACAAAAAAAATATAAAAGTGTGAGTTCCATCTCTTTATTTCTATTTCTTTCTTAAAAGGACTTAAATTTGTGTCATTTAGAAGGACACACATTTTTTTTTTTTTTGATAACAAGGACACACACTTTTACCTTACAAAAAATATTACACCATTTCTCTCTCCTCCCATCCCTTTGACGACCATCATCTTTGTCGAGCCTAGCACTCCCCATCCACATCACTCTCCACTCCACCATCCCAAATTTTCCAACCGTGAGAACAACGTTCAACAAAACTATTTTACTATACTGATAACAAATAGAGTGAAAAAAAAACCAATTCAAACTTACAATGTATTTCGATGGTATGTGCTTCTATGTCTCTGTCTTCATTGATAGGGAGAGAAGAGAGAAAGGATAGAAGGCAACTAGGAGAAAGAAAGGGTAAAAATATTTATTTTGTTTTACAAATCTCTACTGTTTGATGACATTATAATCTAGCGGTATTGAGAAAATAGACAAATGTAGACAAATTAAAGATAGACAGAATAACTTATCTTATTTATAAATGGGATAAGATATTGTTACTATCAAATAATGTTATTACCATATCTTAATCGTTGATTTCTGCTAATCAACGGTTATAATTTATTGCGAATTAATAATTAATTAATGAGTTTAATTTATAAAAATAATAATCGTTGATTGACAGAAATCAACAGTTAAGACATGATAATGACATTAATAATAATATTAGTTGTCAGTAACAATATCCTATCCATTTGTAAATATCATAATTTTTTTTTAATCAAGTGAGTTGATCTTGAAACAAAAAAATTATCCGATAACTAATCATTGATTAATTTAGTGATCAGCACTTTGTAATGTGCTGAATATGCAGGCAATGTGAAAGGAGCAGAATGGCCGACAAGAAATATGGACATTTCTGTAATTTAAGTTAGTGTGACGTGCGTCCTTCAAAACCAACAAAACAAGTGGTGAAATCGTCCTTATACCCTGTTTGTCCACTCCTGTCTCATTGTTTCCTCGTGTGTGGCTTTCTAATTTCCCGCGTCCATCATCACCGCAAAGCTTCCTCCTTATTTATTTTTCACCCGAAATGGCACCAGTTATTCGAAGAACCTCGTTTCCCAAGGTTCTCATCGAGAGGGATTCTGACTCTGAACAGAGTTCATCTGATGATGAAGAAGAAGACCCTGAAACACTTGATGATGAAGAAGAAGAAGATGGGGTTACTGGGAATGGGAATACCGAGAAATTGGAAGTGGGTTCGGACGCAAGCAGGAAAGGGAAAGCACCCATCACTATCACTCTCAAAAAAGTTTGCAAGGTTACTTTTTTTTTTCTAATAAATAAAAAGTTACTTCTTTTATCACTGTTCGAACTCTGTTGTCGTAATGGGTTTTGGGTTTTGCTGTTGATGATGTTGTAGGTGTGTAAGAAGCCTGGGCATGAAGCAGGATTCAAGGGTGCTACTTATATAGATTGCCCAATGAAGCCTTGTTTTCTGTGTAAAATGCCTGGTAACTCTTGATCTTCCTGGCATTGTTTGTATTGGTGTTCTCTTTTTACAAGTGAATGTGGTATGCTGACATGGTTGCTTGCAAAATGCATCATGGGTCTTTCTTTTGATGCTTTTAATCAAAATGCTATGAGAGTGCTTTACTCTTCATTTTATCAATTAGGATGGTCATACTTGTGACCTATTTTATTGTTCTCTGGCTTGTTTGTAACTTGTTAAGCTATTTAATTTATTTTGACTTAATATTTTGAATTGAAGGACATACCACTTTGACTTGCCCACATCGGGTCACTACTGAGCATGGAGTTATTCCGGCACCCCGCAGAAAAACATATAAACCTTTGGAATATGTGTTTGAACGCCAGCTAAGACCGGCCATTCCTTTAGTAAGCCTAAGTTAACTTTTTTTTTTTTTTAATTTTATTTTGGTTTTGAAGAAATTTTCAATTTCTTCTGTTCCATTATTGTGCAGTTGTGAACTCTTTTACCTGATTCTATGTAGTATTATAATAATTTGTGTGTTTTAAGCAGCAGTTTGATGGCATTATCGCTTTGTGCATCCCAAATTAAATTAACCAACTTTGTTTTGGCCCATTTTAGTTTATTTAGTTTTTAATTTGCTTGATGTTGAAAACCAAGTTCGTCCTTTTGTGTTTGTTACTATGTCAGGCACCATACTTGGCTTGTGAGGTTAATAGCTACCATAAATTAATTTGGCCTATTGAAATAAGTTAGTCAGTCAGTCTTGTCCACTTGTAAAATCAACATTAAAATTATGCTGAAACAAGCGAAGTTTAATCTGGTTATCCTTTTAGTTGTTTCTGGCATCTATTGGAATTCATGCCTTTTTTGCTTCTTAACACGCTTGCGTCATCCATTTTAAGCACTAGTGGTTTCCACTTCAAGAAAGTATAACCTTTTAGTCTTATCCAACTAATGATCTTGAAACTATGTACTGAATCATATGTGCTTGAATCAGTTGATAATACTCTACACTCATTCTTAGCATTATGGCATATATGGATTTTTTGCTTATGCTTAGGATCCTTTGAATCTTGTCATTGTGGAGATGAATAATTGGGTGTTGCTTAATATTCTTACATGATTCATTGAGACCCATTTGAACTTTGAGTCCTTTATATGACTTCATTATATTTATGTATTCCCTTTGTTCCAAGTTATTTATCACAGAACCTAGTATTATGAGATTCTTCTTGTGATAAATTTTATGTTTTTCCTTTCTTTGCAATAGATCAAGCCCAAATATGTGATTCCAGACCAAGTGAATTGTGCTGTTATCAGATATCACAGTAGACGGGTAACATGCTTGGAGTTCCACCCCACAAAGAATAACATCCTGTTATCTGGAGATAAGGTTATTACAGTACAATTACATTAGTTAGGTTTAATTTTAAGGTTGCCTTTGTTTTTTAGCCACTGATTTCTTTTTTCCTGCTTTGATCGTAAAGAAAGGACAACTTGGAGTTTGGGATTTTGAAAAAGTACATGAGAGGGTAGTCTATGGGAACATACATTCTTGTTTACTGAATAACATGAGGTAAGTTGTTTTCATGAAATCATGGCCTTCTTGCAATTGTTCCTTTGCCTTCCTACATCTTTGCATTTATTTGTATGTCTTAGCCTGAATTTTAAATGTTAATTTTCAAATGGAAAACCTGTAGGTTTAGTCCTACAAATGATTGTATGGTCTATTCTGCATCCTCAGATGGAACCATTAGTTGTACTGACCTGGAGACTGGAATATCTTCTGCTCTGATGAACCTGAACCCTGAAGGGTGGCAGGTAACATTTTTCTCTTAAGGTTTTTTCTTAACTTATTTTGTAATTGATGTTTCTTTAACTTTTTGACTAATATGCCCAAGGTAACTCTGGAATGATCTATTTTTTAATTCTAATATCTGTATTTTGGGATACTCTACCTGTTACGTGTTCTTTTTGGCCCTGCCCTGCCCTTCACTTCCAGCTGTGTTAGGCTGTAAGATTATAATTGCTTTCATGATTGTGGTGGCCTTTTTTTTATTTTTTTGGGTGGGGGATGCTGGGATAGGGGAGCTTGGGTTATGTTGACTTCTGTGAGAAAGAAGTGAGAGAGAAAGCCAATTCAACCTGGTTGAATTTTCGGCTTTTAATTGGAAAGATCTGTTGCACCATTATTTGGCTTTGGCTTTGGGGATTGAGGTGGTGGTAGCAACGAGAAAAATGTCAAAGAAGATTCATTGAAGTTTCTTGTAAAAGTTTGTCTTATCTTGCAATAAAAAATTCATTTGTATATGCTGTTTTTGTTAGGGTCCAAACACTTGGAAAATGCTCTATGGCATGGATATTAACTGTGAGAGAGGTCTTGTGCTCGTTGGTGATAACTTTGGTTTTCTTCACTTGTAAGTAACTTCTTGGGTTTTGTTTTACCTCCTGAAAGTTTTTAATTTTAATACAGAAGGATGCAAGTTGGTGTCTCATACCAAAGTTATGAATGATCACATCACTCTTTGAAAGCTCACCCAGTTTTTATGCTTCACTGTTAGTTTGATATGCTATACTGTTCTTGGCATGTCACCACATCTATTAAGTGTTTTTCTGTAAAAGGATAAATTATTAGATAAATGCTCCATGTGCATGGTATCTTCTTTGCACTATCTCTCTAGGTGTGCATATAGTTCTCAATTGGAATTTATCCCCGCATCAAATTTGACTGGCTATAAATTTTGAACATGCTTTTTTTTTTTCTTGATTTTATTTTCATTGTATGGCCATTTGTGAAAGTTAATGGTTAAAGTGCAATGTAATTGCCCACAACATCTGTTAGGAGCTTGTTTAGCAGAGCACTCTGTTTATTATCTTATAACCTATTGAGAACATTATTAATTTGAAGGTTTTAAAGAACTTCATATTTGCAGACAGCAAGACTTGACTTTGTTCATTATAAAATATTTTGAGGGAGATAACTTTTATATTATAGTTTGTTTTCTTGGTTAAGGAATAAAATTTGTAGCCCTCTAGTCTGTGGCCATGTTGTGAAACAAATTAGCTAAGCAAATATATGTAACCTCGTGTGGCATTTGAAGGGTTGACACACGCTCTAACCACAAGACTGGTGATGCAATTTTGATCCATAAAAAACGTAGCAAAGTTGTGGGTCTCCATTGCAATCCAATTCAACCAGACATCCTTTTAACTTGTGGAAATGATCATTTCGTGAGTTCTTCCCTTTTATCCATATATTGAAGTTATTTAGTTGGTATTTGAACATGTGTTGCACACTGGATATACTAGCCTTTGAAACATGTAATGGTTTGTGTCTTTTAGGCTCGCATTTGGGACATGCGTCGAGTAGAAGCTGGATCATCCCTTTATGACCTTGAGCATAAACGTGTTGTTAACTCTGCATATTTCTCTCCGTTATCTGGGAACAAAATTCTTACTACATCACAGGACAACCGTCTTCGTGTATGGGATTCTATCTTTGGTAATATGGACTCTCCCAGCCGAGAAATTGTACATAGTCATGATTTCAGTCGACATTTGACCCCCTTCAAAGCTGAATGGGATCCAAAGGTTATTTTATTTTTTAATTTTTTTTTTAATTTGTGCCAGTTGTTTATGATGTTTCCTTTTCTTTTTTTTCCCTTCTGATTTTTAGGATAAAAAATATTTATGTAATTGCAGGATCCATCAGAGTCCCTTGCTGTTGTAGGTCGTTATATTAGTGAAAATTATAATGGAACTGCCCTACATCCCATTGATTTTATAGATATCAGTACAGGGCAATTGTTAGCTGAAGTCATGGATCCAAACATCACAACAATCAGTCCAGTGAATAAGCTGCATCCACGTGATGATATCCTGGCATCTGGGAGTTCAAGGTTTGAATTGTCTTATTAATCCTAAAGCACTAGATAATGAAAGTTGTGATTTTCTCCATTTTATCTATGACAATAGATGTGTTCATAAATTCTTTTGCTTATTAGTTTTTTTGTGTCTAAGGAGAAAATTCAAACTTTTTAGCCTTCTGTGATGATGAAACCTTTTAAGTTTAAAATTCAAATTACTAGTGCTCTTTAATGAGCTCTTTCACAACATTTATTTTATTTCCCTCCAGTGAGTATTATTATTAAGGATGAAACTGATGTATGAATGTATCATATTCAACTCTGACATAGTTCAGACTCTACCAAGGATAGATATATGACTAGCTTTTTGCAAATTGTCCAATGTTACAACTATCAAATTAATACTTTGACAATAATTATTAATTTATTAGTTACATTCAGCACTTCACATCAACAATGGATGTAAAAAGCTATAGTACCTTGATGTCATAAGTCTGATTGGTTATTTGGTTCTTGGACATACCTGGCATAATTTTTCAGATCTTTGTTCATATGGAAGCCGAAGGAGAAGTCGGAGCCTGTAGAGGAGAAGGATGAAAGGAAGTTTGTGATTTGCGGAGGAGCCAAGAAGAAACGTGGTAAGAAGAATGGTGATGATAGCGATGAATCTGACAATGAAGGATTCATTTCCAAGCTCAAGAAGTCCAAGTCAAAAAAGACTCCGAGCAAATTGTCTCGTTGATATATGAAGTCAGTTCTGCATAGTGTATTGATATATTACTTTTTTTTTTTGGTCAGTTTTTCGAAGGTTTTCCAATCCAACTGCTAACCCTGTATAGGTGGCAAGCTTCCCTCCTAATTTTGTTTTTTGGGGATGGGAGGGGTGCTGTTATCACATAGCAAGCTTTCTTACTTGGCTTGGAAGATTTTGTATTTTTGTGTTGGAGCAGTGATTTTGTATCAGATTCAAATGCAGGCATGGCTAACTTATGTGATCCCTTTTTGTAGTGCTATTGTATTATATTAGAAGGCAATGTTCCATAGGGTATTAGGATATACTAACAGGTTTTGTTGGATTGTACCTTTTTGTTAATGTTTGTAAAGTTATAGTCTTCAAGCTTCAGATTAGCATCTATAACGTGTTTAAATGCTTGGAACTATAGAAGCCCCCTTTTTTGGTCAACAATTCATTGATTTACAGGCCATGAAAGCTCAACACCAGGGATTCCACAGCCCCCAAAAAAGTAACTAACTGGACTAGTGGTTCTTAGCTACTTGTTTTTCAAGTTACAAGCAAATAAAAACCATTACTGAAAAGAACTTTAGGCTTTGGTTGGTAATCACTAATCATTAGGGTCAGTTTGATGTCTTCTTTAAATTAAAATGAGAACAAAAATTTAGAAGATCAAGGCCTCTTAATCTTACACCTGTATTCTCTTTTTCTAATCTCATCCAATGCATCAGGGAATTGTTTATCCATTCTGTGAGAGTTAACTTGAGTCAATTCATATTTCCATTGAATCATACTTCCGAACCAAATTGGGCCAGTTACAAGGATATCAGAGTAGTGAAGGTTCGATCGATTCAATTTCAGTGGCAAATGGATCAAATCATAAGGGATGTCATCTCTTGTAACGTTCTGCACAATTGGTATTCCATATCAAGTTCGTATGCTTCACCTCTGGAGAAGCTTGTGTGTCCCAAATCAGTTTTGTCCTTTGAATTAGAGCAAAAAACTAGTGGGGTTACAAAGAAATTAATAAATGTCATTTCATAAAAAACAAAAACAAAATAAAAAATTAAGTGTCACATAAAATTGTTGTGAATTTGAGAAATTAACTAGAATTGTCCAACCTCCAGTCAAAAAAAAAAGGGACCTGTTTAATTACCGTTCTCCGAAATAATTGTTTATTTACAAAAAAACAAAACAAAATTTTTAATGCCTATTTTTTATCAGAAAATCATTTTGTAGTTGCTGCAAAAATATTTATCTGCCACGCAGTATGTATTACCAATAGTATATAGTGTAATTTTTGAAATTAATTTTATTGTAGGGGACCACTCCTTTTTTATGGGACCTATTGCTTTTTTGTGAGAGAGCCAGAGGGGACTTTCTATGCCACAGAAAAGTTAACCCCATTTTTTTATTGAGGTAGGATATTTTGAGTATTAATTTTTTCTACTACCACTCCACTACCACTTTAATCATCATTGGATCAAAAGTTATTTTTCTTTTCTCTCTCTTCATTCAACTTTTCCTCTAATCCAATGGTGATTAGAGTGGTAGTAAAAAAAAAATGGTAGTCAAAATATCCTAAAATCTTTTTTATTTGCTTGTTTTTTAAAAAACTTAATTTGCACAATTTGTACTCAATATTTTAATAAAGAATATTTTAATAACGAAAAGGCTGAATAATTTCTTATTAAATAACATTTTGTATTCAATATTTTAATAACATTTTGTACTTTTAGTCGCCCATCATGATCGTGACTTCTAGTTAAAGGGTATTCAGTTTTTGTTGCACTAACTATTGTGGCAAATATTGGTCATGGCTTCTAGCAGAATGATAATGAGTTTTAGGTAATTCCGTAGAAAACTCAGGCAGAAACTGATCATGGCTTCCTACAGAAGGGTACTGAGTTTTTGTAGAGTGATCATGGCTTCCTGCAGAAGGGTATTGGGCTTTTGTAGCAACACTAGACAATTCTGACAAATTAAAAGAACGGTAACAAACTATATACAATTCTGCCCAAATTGTATTGATCCTTTTTTTTTAACAAAAAAAATAGATATTAAATTTTTGAATGACCCGCAGGCTGGCTCTATCCTATAGAATTTTTGGCCCGGTGAGGGTCTTTATTATTGAGGGTCGTTTGCTTTTTGGCCCTAGTTAGGACTTAATGGGCCCGATTGACTCGTTTTGACAGATTTACTCACAACCTCATCTGCAAGCTCCGGTGAATGGCGACATAGTGACTTTTCCCCTCTTCATTTTCCGTTCAGTTCTCTCGCTTTCTGTTAATCAACGCTTTACTCTTTCGATGGACTAGGGTTTTTCACTTTTCCCACGCCAAAATGCCAAAGCGTAGAGCCAAGAAAACGGCTAAAGCTGAACCAGTGCCTGACCCCAAGGAGCCTCAAAATGAAATGCAGCAGCAACCTCAATTCATGGACCTCGAAATCGAAGGTTATAGATTTGGGATTTTTCGTTATTGTTTCGTGAATTAAACTAAATTGCTAAATCTGTGTCAATTTTCAATTGGATTTATGTGTTGCAGTGGAGCGACAAATCGGTGCGATTAGGGCAGTTCGGGATGTGGAGATTGAACACTTGCTGACGGAGCTTCGATTGCTGAGGTCATGTTTCAACAAGGAACAACTCCAGAAGCCTGTGTTACAGGTTTTTGAAGAAACCCTGCCGAACCTCTCGATTGTGAATGATGAAGGGAACAAGAAATTTGAAGCGAGATGGAAAGAAAATGGGAGTAGATGTGGTGATGGAAGAGATGTGCATGCTTCTTTGCTTCAAAAGTTGTCCATGGCTTATCCTGAATGCTCTGCTTCAATTCCTCCTTTAGGTGGCTTTGAATATTTTACCAATACAGGTATTATTTGCTTTATCTATCTTATGCAAACACTTGAAAAATGATTTATTTATTTATTTATTTTTTATATGTTACTTCTTTGGTGGCAGGGAGAACAAGCTTTCTTGGCGCTGATGATCTGTGTTTTAAGGACGTTGTATGTTCTCTTTCTTCTCTTTGCTTTTTGATTAGTGATACAAGAGTAAATTTCAGTGCTCCGATCTTACATACTCTGTAGCTAAGATTAGGAATACTTGATTCATATCTACATTAAAAAATAAAGAAGTTGATGGAATAAATGCATATAAGTATTTTATGTGTTTCTAATTTTAGTAGGTGTAGCACATGAAAATTTATCCCCTTTTCAAGGACCTTTGGATCACTTCCATGGGACTTGAAAATGCATGCTAGAAGTGCAGATACATATGATGTGGTACACAAATAAGACACAACATGGCTAAGATATTACATATAAGCTTGATTTAATAGTTATATAAAAACACAAATCCTAACATTAAATAAGGATTCAATGATTCGTAAACTAGCGTTAGTAATGATCTTTGTAGAGTATGTGAGCATTTGTGACAGAAATGGTTCTAACCTTTGCAAGGGGAGCATTACTTTTGCACATCCATTCTTATTGGTAACATGGCCCGAAGTATCCGTGAATTTAAAAGGATCTGTTTTCGCTTCTTTTTATGACTAAATGTCTATTATATAGGTTTTGGAGGAGCCATGTGAAACTCAGACTCTGGCAATGCAAGAAGCTCTCCAGACTCCCGGTGTCCGTATCTTCCTACTTTTTGTTTTTAGTGAACTGTGGTATTTCTTGCTAAGGATGTCCAGATGGCTTTTAATTCTTAAGTTAAATAGCTGAAGAGATTAATTTTGCTCTTAATGCATTTTGCAGGTGAGTAGTCAAAGGTTGTCTGTTGGAATGACACCCAAAACACTTAGGCTGCCGAAACCTGGCGAGATGCTTCTCTCTGTCCATGGATCACCGCTTGGTGTTTACAAGGAACATAACATGGAGGCCATACATGGTATGAAAAATGTTTAAGGTTAAAGTTAAAACTATTTGGTATCATGTTCATTATAGTGGTTTCTCCTTATTGCATAAAAGAGGTGGTAACTCCTATTATCTAACATTTGCTTGCTTCCCTGAAACAAGTACCTACCTTAATGCTCTCTCTATGAGTGTGCCTTTCTTTTCTTCTTCACCAGATGAAATAATGTAAATTTCTCTGGTTCTGATATCTATTCTGATGCGCAGAGTCAGAGGAGGGTTGAATGCCTGCTAAATCCGTTGTGGTCCAAAAGCAAGCGATAGAAAGTATTTATGCGCACCGACCAACACCATTTCAGTCATCACACTGATGAGGGTTACATATAGATTAGTGGCCCCTTAATCTTTTTTTATTTAGAGTTCACGAGTTAGTGACAGCCAATTAGATTGGACTAAAAGGCGAGTATTGATTTTGGCTTTCCAGCTTTCACATATTGGGATGCAGCTGGAGATTGCTATAGAGTTGTCTGACTAATGTAGTATTTTGTTTATTGTTTGTAGTAGTATGAGTAATTTGTATTACATGAACGCTGAGGCCCTTTTGCACTGTAATTTTCTAATGAAGTAATAAGCTTTATTGAGAGGCTTTCACATATTGGGATGCAGCTGGGGATTGCTACATAGTTGTCTGACTAATGTAGTATTTTGTTTATTGTTTGTAGTAGTATGACTAATTTGTATTACGTGAATGCTGAGGCCCTTTTGCACTGTAATTTTCTAATGAAGTAATAAGCTTTATTGAGAAGCTTTCACATATTGGGATGCAGCTGGAGATTGCTGGGTTTAGGGTTTCTAGGCGGACAATTAAAATCAGGGATACTAGCATAGCAGCCAAAATTGTTTAACTGAACCTGACGTGAATGGAACGCTCAACCTTCTGATCTGGAGTCAGACGCGCAACTATTGCGCCACAGATCCTATGTTGATACACTTCATCTTGAATAATTTTTAATAAACATTTAATTGGTCCGTGTCATATTCTTGTCTCATCTTTTTCACAATTTTCATGTTTATAAATCCCTTAGATAATATTATCTTTTCTTAAACACATCGTAAAATAACTAGTATTTAGTAAATGTGTACCGCAATCCTAAATGAATATATATAGTAATATGCAGTAAAAAATAACTAGCATGCATGGAAATCATTAAACTTTTGAGTTCAATGATAACTTGTTCTTATACAAAGCTGCTTAAATAGAAACTAAAACTATAAACACTCAATCAACTAAATTCTAAATTCAGGGCGTCATTAAAGAGTATTATATAATGTTTACAGACTAATTTTATACTATAACCTTTTGTAAATAATAATGATATTATTATGTTTATTATGTGACTTTTTGCATTAGGGATAGAGTGAGAATTCGGGTTAATATGACATTACACAAATTTAACACGAATATGATATGAATTTAAAATCAGGTTAAAACCTTTGACACGGACACGATACCCTTTAGCCATTGGTTCTAAAGGAGGCTTATGAGTTCTTTTTTATTGTCAGTTTAGCTGTGTGTCTGCGAGATTATATGTATGCATGATAAACATATTTTCTTACTCTTTAAATCTTCATCATTGGTCTTCTTGAACTATTATTAAACTAGACTCTTTATCCTGCTTAGTATAGATCCAGATTAAGATGATTGCTAATTTTTTTGATTTAATTTCTCTTTTTTTAAGCATGCATCAAAATTAGGATTATCCGACAAAACTTGGTGTATGGAACTAATTCAAGGGGGAGAGCCATCCCAAATCAACAACTCAATGCCAAGGTGACAAAACTTGGTGTATGGAACCAAGCAGGGGAGAGCCTATACAACCTCCTTCGTGTATGGGATTCTATCTTTGGTAATATGCACTCTCCCAGCCGAGAAATTGTACACAGTCACGATTTCAGTCTGCATTTGACCCCCTTTAAAGCTGAATGGGATCCAAAGGTGAATTTTTTTTTTTTTTTGATGTTTCCTTTTTTTTTCCTTCTTATTTTTAGCAACAATATTATTTATGTAATTGCAGGATCTATCAGAGTCCCTTGCTGTTGTAGGTCATTATATTAGTGAAAATTATAATGGAACTGCCCTACATCCCATTGATTTTATAGATATCAGTACAGGGCAATTGTTAGCTGAAGTCGTGGATCCAAACATCACAACAATCAGTCCAGTGAATAAGCTGCATCCACGTGATGATATCCTGGCATCTGGGAGTTCAAGGTTTGAATTGTCTTATTAATCCTAAAGCACTAGATAATGAAAATTGTGATTTTTTCCATTTTATCTATGACAATAGTTGTGTTCATAAATTCTTTTGCTTATTAGGTTTTTTTGTGTCTAAGGAGAAACTTCAAACTTTTTAGCCTTCTGTGATGATGAAACCTTTTAAGTTTAAAATTCAAATGACTAGTGCTCTTTAATGAGCTCTTTCACAACATTTATTTTATTTCCCTCCGGTGAGTATTATTATTAAGGATGAAACTGATGTATGAATGTATCATATTCAACTCTGACATAGTTCAGACTCTACCTAGGATAGATATATGACTAGTATCAAATCAATGCTTTGACAATATTATTAATTTATTAGTTACATTCAGCACTTTGCTTCAGCAGTGGATGTAAAAAGCTATAATACCTTGGTATCACAAGTCTGATAGGTTATTTGGTTCTTGGACTTACCTGGCATAATTTATCAGATCTTTGTTCAGATGGAAGCCAAAGGAGAAGTCGGAGCCTGTAGAGGAGAAGGATGAAAGGAAATTTGTGATTTGTTGAAGAGCCGAGAAGAAACGTGGTAAGAAGAATGGTGATGATAGCGATGAATCTAAGGATGAAGGATTCATTTCCAAGCTCAAGAAGTTCAAGTCAAACAAGACTGAGAGAAAATTGTTTCGCTGATATATGAAGTCAGTTTGCATAGTGTATTGATATGTTAATTTTTTTTTGGTCAGTTTTTTGAAGGTTTTCCAATCCAATTGCTAACCCTGTATAGGTGGCCAAGCTTCTCTCCTAATTTTGTTTTTTTGGGGATGGTAGGGTTGCTGTTATCACATAGCAAGCTTTCTTCCTTGGCTTGGAAGATTTTGTATTTTTGTGTTGGAGCAGTGATTTTGTATCAGATTCAAATGCAGGCATGGCTTACTTATGTCATCTCCTTTTGTAGTGCTATTGTATCATATTAGAAGGCAATGTTCCATAGTGTATTAGGATATAATTTTTGTTGGATTGTACCTTTTTGTTGATGTTTGTTAAGTTATAGTCTTCAAGCATCAGATTAGCATCTTCGTGCTTCAGTCTTTCTATAACGTATTTGAATGCTGGGAACTATAGAAGCCCCCTTTTTTGGGTAACAATTAATTGATTTACAGGCCAAGAAAGCTCAACAGTAGGGATTCCACAGTCCAAAAAAATATTAACTAACTGGACTAGTGGCTCTTCGCTACTTGTTTTTGAAGTTACAAACAAACAAAAACCATTAATGAAAAGAAGTCTAGGCTTAGGTTGGTAATCATTAGGGTCAGTTTGATGTCTTCTTTAAATTAAAATGAGAAGAAAAATATAGAAGATCAAGGGCTCTTATTCTTACACCTATGTTCTCTTTTTCTAATCTCATTCAATGGATCAGAAAATTGTTCATCCATTCTATGACACTACTACTAGAAAAATTCATTTTTTTGATGGAAAAATTCCGTCGAAAATAGTAAAAATTTCGTTGAGCATGAAGATTTTGACAGAATTTTTAACTAAATTTATACCGTTGAATTTCTCTTCGTTGATAACAATATTTTCAACGAAATTTATTTCTGTCGAAATTTATTAATGGAAAATCAATGGAATTACGTCGAAAATTGTTATGATGGTTTTCGACGGAAAACGGATTTTGTAAAAAATTTTCTACTAAAAATCAATGAATTTCCATCGAAAATTGATATAAAGATTTTCAACTGAAAATAAATTCTGTCGAAAATTGTTGTAATGGCTTTCGAAGGAAAACAAATTCCGTCGAAAAATTTAAATTTTTTTTATAAAATTTTTCTCTAAAAAATTAATACCAATTTTCTGTACTGTATTTGATAAAAAAATATAATTAAAGTAAGACTTTAATGTTTCTACAGTGAATGTAGATAAAGTTATCTACATTCGCTCCCAAAATGACGTCGTTTTGGATTAAAAAAATTAAAAATTATAATGAAAAAGACTATTATAACCCTGAAATAAATTATAATTACAAAAATATCTTGATTTTCGCCTTAAAATGACGTCGTTTTAGGCTCAATGTAGAATAAGTTATCTATATTGACTGTAGAAAAAACGAACCCTTAAAGTAAACAAAATATCAAAATCAAATCTCTCAAATCAATATATTAAATGAACAAAGCCCATATCATATATTAGGCTAAGTATTAAAAAAGGCTTATACAATTAGCTATCGGTGTACAATAAATAAATATTGTAACCTTAAAAAGTTAACAAATAAAAATTAACATATCAATACACAATGCAAAAAATAATTTCTTCTCAATCTTTTTTTTTTTTTTTTGGTCAGCTTTTCTCAATTTTTTTTTTTAACTTTACATCAATACACAATCCTTCTATTCCAACACATACAATATTTTTTTAACTTCACCAAATACTCAAACTTAAGAGTGATAAATTTTGCAGATTTAGGATAAGAAGCCTCTTCTTCATACACATGGATAATATTTTAAGTGGGTGAATTTGAAATATTCCTCCCTGGTCAAGGCTCTCCTTGACTTGAACCCTCCTTGGCCTTTTTCTCCGTCCATGACCATCTTCTTCTTCTTCATCAGGAGCATTATCTTTCAATTTGAGAATGTCCACGGTGGGGGAAGTGCCTGATTAATAAAATCACATTATAGAGAATCCCTAAGATCATGTATATTTTAAGATTATGTTTTAAAATAAATTTAAGAAAAAGATAATCACAATAACAATTTTTGATTGGTGCAAGTTTTCATAAATAAACAGAAAAACATGCAATTCTAACTATTAAACTCACTAATTTTTTGCCTTGTCAATTATGATCCTATGAGTCAATTACAGTCCTAAAGTTAATTAGAATCATAACAGTTCTTCATCTAAACAATTTAGATAAGTATCTAACGGTTTCAATAGATTTGTCAATACAAATTATATACAAACAGGCAGCGCATCAAATTGGATTAATTATGAACCCAACAAAAAAAAAATATGACCACTGATAGATTTCTCATGCTCACAGACTACAGTCTCATCTTCTACTTACTTCCTAATAGCTAATGCTGAAATTTTTAAAGCCATTATTAATTAAATTTCAAATTTAAAACGCTGACAAAATTTACATAGAGCTTGTGCTACTACAGTTTGGATGCACTTTGCATCCTCAACGAATATACTGCCAAATAAGTCCTATACACTGTGCTTTATTTGGTCATTTTGTTATCATAATTTAACTGCAAACCATTCCACTATGCAATTTTGCAAATTAGTTCACCCAAGATCCATGTGGGTCTGATGAGAACCAAAGGTCTCAACAGGTGTAAGCTCCTCAAGAGTTTAACTAAAAACATTTCCAAGCAGGAAAGGCTTAATTGAAACCATACAAAATTCAGGATATTGACAATATTTTGTTACCCAAAGAATTCATATTCATCTTTCCTAACAAAGGCAAGGTTGTAGGTCATAAATTTAATCAATGGTTAACTTTGTTTTTATCCGTGAAAAAATTCAACATTTTAAGCATCCAAGATGATTTATTAATTTCTTTAATTGCTCCACTTTAAGCATCCAACATTTTAATTGCTCCATTTTAAGCATACAAAATTGGCCCAGTTACAATGATATCAGAGTAGTGAATGTTCAATTTATTCAATTTCAGTGGCAAATGGACCAAAAATAAGGGGTCCTGTATTAGTCTTCTCTTGTAACATTCTGCACAATTGGTACTCCATATCAACTTCGTATGCTTCACCTCTGGAGAAGCTTGTATGTTCCAAATCAACTCTGTCCTTTGAATTAGAGTAAAAAACTAGTAGGGGTACAAAGAATAAATGTCATTTCATAAAAATAAAAAATAAAATAAAAAATTAGGTGTCGTGTAAAATTGTTTTGAATTTGAGAAATTAATTAGAATCGTCCAACCTCCAGTCAAAAATAAAATAAAAATAAAAATTAGGACCTGTTGAATTACCGTTCTCCGAAATAATTCTTTATTAAAAAAAAACAAAACAAAATTTTCAATGCCTATTTTTTATTTGCTTGTTTTAAAATTTTAATTTTCATAATTTCTTTTTAGGGTAAAAATTTGAGAACATGCATGATTCTGTTATTGTTTTTGAAAATTGTTTCATAGAATTGTTCCTAATTTAAGATTTGGTGAACAAGGACAAAAACTGTTTTAAAGCAAAACAAATTACGTATGGAATCCACATGAGCAAGTTAGGAAATAGTATTGCAAGAAAGAAAGTAATCCTTCCTCAGTTTACTACAAATGCATTGGCGTGTTATTTTTGCAAATTGTTTATGACTTATGAAGATGACTGCATGAACTCAAAATGAGACGCATCACGCATGTGATTGAGGTGAGGACAACCGTAATCCAAGTTATGGTTTATGGATTGTGATTGAGGACAACCGCATCACGCATCACGCATCAACTTATGGTTTATCGTTTATGCCTTATGGCCAAAAGATCCAACTTCTTTGATCTCATCCTTTGGTGCTTGTCACATGGAACACGATTTACTAAAGTTTGATTCGTGCCTTCTTTTTTTGGAAAGTAAAAAAAAAAAAAAACTAAAGTTTGGAATTTCAAAAGTGGAGTTGATATTTCGTTAATAAGTAGAGTTTTTCTTGAACTAACAATCGATTTTCCTAAGGCTATTTTTAAATTGAGGAAAAGAGATGATTGACTATGTAGCATCGATACTGACACGGGACACGTGACACGATACGACACAATACTCCGACAAGTTAATTTTAAAAAATGTTAGATTTCGACACGTTAGGACAGGTTTTGATATTAAATAATATTTTTAAATTATGTAGTGTATATTATATTCAATATTCAATAATTTAACAAAAAAATAAAACTAAAATTGTAATATTCATCAATTTTACAAAGAAACATAAAATATCCAAAATATTTATATTAAATTTAATAAAATAGTAATCGTAATCCAACGAATCTAATAGTTGGAATTAAAAACTCAACGCAACGCAACCTTTGAACCTTTTTTGAATTTCTATAACGCGTATTAGAGTGTCGAAGAGTGTCGAAGTGTCAAAGAGTGTCGAGAAGTGTCGGACACGACACATCAAAGTTTTTGAAGTGTCGGTGCTTCAAGGTGATTGATACAATTAATACAAAATAAGAGTTGTTTCATTATTTTATATAGATGTAGAGGGTGAGCGGGACATAAAGACTGATACATAATAAAAATAAAAATAAATTCGAATATGATATGGAGTATCTCATTCTAATTCATACATATGTTTTTCTTTCCCCACATACACAGTACAACTCTATTTTTTCTTAATATGATCATGTTATGTAGGAGAATATTATCATATAATAAAAAAGCAGAAAAAATATTGAGATATGTTATTTTACCCATTTTTTTCTATCTTTGCCTACTATTTTCCAATACTATTATATCAGAATTTCAATTATTTTTATTATTAGATCAGAATCTCGGTAGGAAAAAGAAATGATAAAAATATTTAAGATTTTGATATAATGATATTGGAGAGTGGTAGATAAAAAAAAATAAAGAAGGTAAAATAACTTATTCCAAAAATATTAAAATAAAAAGTTATAAAATTATCACAATTAATTTGTTCACTAATGACTAAAATTATCTCACATGATGTAATCATATTAAAAAATCTTGAGATAATTCCTTTCTATTTTTCATTTATATGATGATTAAATTACTTTGTTGTCCTTGACCTAAAAAGGCGGACAACCAAGTTCTATTGGTGGATTACATATTGTAGGAATTTTAAAACATAAAAAAATGTTGTCATAAAATATTATTTTTAAAAAATAAAAAGAATATAAAGAGCATTTGTTAAATATTCTAGAACTACAAAAAATAGAAAGAATACAAAGAGCATTTGTTAATATACTAGAACTACAAAAAATAGAAAGAATATAAAGAGCATTTGTTAATATTCTAGAGCTACAACAATTTAAATTTTAAAGTTTGCAAAAAAGCACGTGAGTAAATGAGTCATTTAGAAGCCGCGAACCGAAAGAATAGGACAAAGACGTATCAAAATTGCATTTAAACTGCATGCAAAAGAGCGAATTTCTAATTCCCAAAAAGTTGTAACGAAACTCAGCGCAAAGCGGGGGGGCATTTCTGTCATCTCACCTGGTCTTCAAAACACCTCGCGGTAGCTCCTCTTTTCAAGTTTCACAATATTCACAAATACACAGACATGGAGACACAAACACTCATTCTCTCACTCCATTTATAAATTCTCATTCTTCTCCGTACAAATCCCCAAATCAACAAAAACCATTAGAGAAAGAGAGAGAATGGCAGCTTCCGACGGAAGCGAGTACTTCGAGATAGGATCCATCGCGAGCGAAAGCTTCGCGAGGGCCTCCAACGCCGACACGGTGGAGGAGGACGAGGCGGAGCTTCAGTGGGCGGCGCTCTCTCGCTTGCCGTCGCAGAAGCGCAGCAACTTCGCCCTCCTCCGCGCCTCCTCTTCCCGCCTCCAAACTCCTCCGCAAGGCTCCGGCACCGACAATTTAGTCGACGTCAGGAAGCTGAACCGCTTCCACCGTGAACTCGTCGTCAAGAAGGCCCTCGCCACCAACGACCAAGACAACTACCGCCTCCTCTCCGCCATCAAAGAACGCCTCGACAGGTTCCGCTCTCGAATTATTATCGTTCCTTTTTTTTTTTGAATTTCTACAGACTAATGTTTGTACGATTGTTCAAAATTATGGATCTGTGTTATTATTGTGGATAACGTCAGGGTTGGATTGGAGGTGCCGAATATTGAAGTTAGATACAAGGACTTGACCATCAGTGCTGACGTTCAAATCGGTTCCAGAGCTCTGCCAACTCTGATCAATTACACTCGGGATGCATTTGAGGTTAATTAATTTCGTCTTCATATGCTTTTCGTTTTTTTTTTAATTTTGATGACGTACGAATCGTTTTTGTGACTAATGTATGCGGTTAATTGCGCGCAGAATATCCTAACCAAGTTGAGGATATGTCGACCTAAACGGCATTCCCTTACCATCTTGGACAATGTCAGTGGCGTCATCAAACCTGGAAGGTAATAATGATTTCTTCTTCTTTAAATATTCTTCTCCGTTGCTCGTTGATTTTTTTGTTACGCAACTGAGTACACGGTTTCGTCTGAATCAAGTTATTTCTGTTTTCTGGTTTATATGGTGAAATGGGATAGTGTTATTAATGTAGTTTGGATTCAGGACGGAACGTGATATTAATAGTATCACGAGTGAAGGTCCTTTATTTGACAAGTTCAGAATTTTCATGTGTTCCGTTGTAAACCGGTATCCCACTTTTTTTGCTAAGCAGGATGACTTTGTTGCTTGGACCTCCTGGATCGGGCAAATCCACCTTACTTTTGGCTCTCGCTGGCAAGCTTGATTGTAACCTAAAGGTCCGTGGTCCTTTGTTTCTATATATATTTGTAATACTATTAATAAAGGAACACATGTGAGAGACATTTACTTTTCTTTGTGAAAATATTAGTACTGACGAGTCCAGGATTAAAATTTTAAACCCCTCCCAAAGATAGTACTGGGGAGGATCGAACACATGTTCTTACCCCATCTGCTCAGCTCCATGCGCCAACTGAGTTACCATCATGTAGTGAATTTTTGGTCTTCTGTATTAACTTCTCACTGTTGAAAATTCACACACACTCACCAATTGGCCCACACCAACACGAAACACTTACACACTAAATCTTAGCAGTTGATTTTATATGAATCTCACTGTTATAATTTATTGTGGTATATTTATTAATTAATTATTAATTTTTAATAAATTATAAGCATCAGATGGACAAAAATCAATGGTTAAAATTTTGTGTGTGTGTATATATATATATATATATAGGGATACATTATTTTACTAATTTTTTTTTCTACCTACCTTTACCTACCACTTTCTAACACCGTAAGATCAGAATCTCAAGAAGAAAGAGATAACAAATCTAAAAATAATATATATGGGGCATGATCTTATTACACAGATGTAAAAATAATAAAATTTACTCTCAATCTAAACCGTTGAATTTTGATATATGGTAGTTATAATTTATTGGAAATTCATAATTAATTAATGAAAACAATACAATTAATTATTGGAAATTCATAATTAATTAATGAGAACAATTCAATTAATCACATTCGTTTGATGGACGGAAATCAACAGTTAAGATTTAGTGTAAGAATTATTATTTTTATATCCTGTAAAAATAATAAGTCTTACACCAAATTTTGACAGTTGATTTTCATGTATCAAACGGTTAATTAATGAATGTGATCCAAAAAGTCACAACCATTAAATTTACAGAAATCAACGGTTAAAATTTGATACAAGACTTATTATTTTTACATCAGTATAAGTTGATCATGCCTCACACACACACACATATATATATATATATGCTTTTCCAGCAATATAATGCTTTTTAGTGATCTATTTATTTTAACTGCATAAAATATGGAAAAAAATGTATATCATTTTAAAGAATAAAAATTTATGTCATTTTAAGTGAGAAAAAGAGATAGATAAAAATGGAAAGAGAGTGGACCAAAAAATAAAATAAAGGTATGGATCTTACTTTGTTGTGAGAGTGAAGTGACACAAATTGTATCATCTAAAAGGACAAACACTCTTCCAATAAAATATTTTCCTTAGCAGTACGGTAAAATTCAAAATGTCTCTGATATTTTTTTGGTAAACTCTGATATTTTATGTGTTTTTATATTGACACGGCTGAAGGCTTATTTTTAAACTGCTCTTTTATAATTTGATTTACATATTACTTTCTCTCACAAAAAAAAACGGATACTTAATAATAATTTAATTATTGAGGTATTTATTTAATTTTAGATATGATTAATAGCCGTACCTGACCAGCAGTTCATTAACTTTTTAGAAAAAATCATTTAATTGATTTGATGTATTGTATTTTAAGATATTTGTGACATATAATATTAAGGGGAATATTAGTTTTATGATACATATGAGTAATTCTCTCAGGCTATAGAGAGAAATTAAGTGGGGCTCACCATTAAAAAGCAAAAAAAGAAAAGAAAAAAGAAAGGGTGCAGTTTTCGAAGTGAGAGAAAATGAGATAACTATTTTATATAAAATAAGAGTAATATTTCTTTAATATTAAACATTAATTAATGAATGACTAGTAATTAACTCGAGAAATGGAAAATGCTCGAGCTCTAATACCTCTTTAAACGAAAAAACTTTCCCAATTATTTTTATAAAATCTTTTATCATAATTTTTTTATTATAATAAATATTTTTTTAAGATGAGTTTTTATCATAAAAAGTTTTTTAAGATGAACGTAATTTTTTAAAAAAAGTTATAAGATGTTTTGCTAAATAATTCATTTTAGCTTAAGTTTTAAAAATTTAAATTTTTTATATTATCACCAAATTGTTAAATCACTTTTAACTTTTATTTTTTAAGTTTTTGTTTTTAGCTTTAACCTTTGAAATAAATTTTAACTTAGAAAATAGCTTGGAAAAAGACACGTCAAAGATGTCCGACTTTTTTATTTTTTTGGTGGAGGGGGTCTGACTTTTTAACTGCTACCTGTGACTCTGATGCTTTTTGAATGTTTTGTAGCATGTCATTTTCTTTTTTTATTTCTGCTTATTCTCTCTATGTATAAAGTTTCTGTTTATACAATCATGTCATCAGTAGTATATTAGTAACATAAAGTAATTATAAAACGTGACAATTAATTTAGTTAGTAAAATACTTTGCTCAGTGTAAGAAAGGTGTGTTTGTACCTACTGGGTGCAGCTCAGTTGGTAACTTGGCGGTGAGTTAGTGAGGTTGGATATGTGCTTGATTCCTGCTGAATGCATTCTTGGGGAGGGGGCTGAACCTTTAGCCATCACTGTTCCCCGCACTCCGGATTAGTCCCATAGCCAGCTCAAAGAGTCGAAGCTCGTGGGAATACCGGAGGGAGCCAACTCGTTTCAAAGAAATAATTAGGGTTGGGTAACTCAAAAAAAAAAAAAAAAAAAAGGTGTGTTTGTTTGTTTTCTATAGTATTTATTGAAAGGACACCAAAGTATTTGAGTCCTTTCTTCACGTGTAATCATGACAATGGGGAAAGAAAATCAGATACGTATAGTTATGACTTATGAGATTATGTAGTATTGGCTTTTGGCTGCTGGCAGTACATGTAATTTTAGATTATGCAGTAATTTGGTTTTGTAAATTGTTGTTCTGCCGTTCTACTCTCAGACTCATACTTTTCCAAATTTTAAGCCGTTGTGGTACTGTACGCAGCATACTTCAAAAACCCGTGCTCATTTTATAATGCGCTACTCTTTTAATTTTTTTTTTTGCTGTTCTATTTCTCCAGAAAACTGGTAGTATAACATACAATGGCCATGAGGCAGATGAATTTTATGTTCGAAGGACTTCAGCGTACATTAGCCAAACAGATAATCACATTGCAGAACTGACAGTACGAGAAACTTTGGACTTTGCTGCTAGATGTCAAGGTGCACAAGAAGGTTTTGCAGGTATAGTTAACTTTATCACGTTGAAGGATTTTATATATATTTGACAATTAAATTTCTACTGCAAAATGCGTTAAAGTCTTTCTATCTTCTGACAAGTTTGAACTTTTTCTTACAGCATATACGAAAGATCTGGGCCGCCTAGAGAATGAAAGGAACATACGACCTAGTCCACAAATTGACGCATTTATGAAGGTCATCATCCTAAATGTGTAGTAGTGTAAGAAAATAACGCATGCCTGCACGTATCTATATAATGTATCTAATTACGTGAGGTCGGTTTAACTCCACAGGCATCATCTGTTGGAGGTAAAAAGCACAGTGTGAACACAGACTACATTTTGAAAGTTCTTGGTCTCGATGTATGTTCAGAGACAATAGTTGGCAACGAAATGCTCAGGGGGGTCTCCGGTGGCCAGAGAAAGAGAGTTACAACAGGTGTCTCCCTCCCATCTTCTGGAATTAGCTGTATTTGTTCAGCATCTTTCATGTTTATTTCTGTCCCAGATCCTCTCTTCTTTTTTTCTTCAGTTAAAGTTAATGTTTCTAATTATAATTTGTAATGTATTATTAAGGGAATCAAAAGAAACTTCAGCTATAATTCTATTTTCAACATCAGGTAGAAGAATAGCATTACATATACTTGCAGAAGCTACGTTTCCGTTGAAAGACTATTGCATTGTTGCTTGTACTGACACAAAGATTTTATGTTGCTTCTTGGATTGATTAGGAGTTTCTAGATAGTCCAAAAATAATGAATTTTATAAATCTTTTAATTTATCTAAACTAGAAGACTTCAAATGCTGTGATGACTCTGATTTAAGTCATGCAGTTGCAGCAATCACTGACATGTTGTATTGCATCTTTTAGGAGAAATGATTGTTGGTCCAAGAAAAACACTATTTATGGATGAAATTTCAACTGGACTTGATAGCTCTACTACATTCCAGATAGTAAAATGCATAAAGAATTTTGTTCATCAGATGGAGGCCACAGTACTCATGGCTCTCCTTCAGCCAGCTCCTGAAACATTTGAGCTATTTGATGATCTTGTGCTCCTGTCAGAAGGGCACGTGGTATATGAAGGCCCTCGAGAAAACGTGCTTGAGTTTTTTGAGTCAGTAGGTTTTAAACTTCCACCACGTAAGGGGATTGCAGACTTTCTTCAGGAGGTATATCTTCTTAACATACTCTTATGATCAAGTGCTCCCTTGAATTCTTGCTTGACTTCTTTTCTTTTGTCAGGTGACCTCTAAGAAGGATCAAGCACAATACTGGGCCGATCCTTCAAAGCCATATCAGTTTGTCCCAGTTAGTGAGATTGCAGAAGCCTTTAGAAATTCAAGATTTGGAAGGTATATGGAATCCATGCAGGCTCATCCATATGATAAATCAAGGTGTCATCCTTCAGCTTTGGCTAGAAATAAATTTGCTGTGTCAAAATGGGAGATCACTAAAGCTTGCTTTGCACGAGAAGTTCTTTTGATCAGAAGGCATAGTTTTCTTTATATTTTTAGGACCATCCAGGTATTCTTGATTTGATATGGTACTTAAACTTGTTCTTTGAACTCCTTCTTTCATTTCAGAATTGAAAAGATTCTATTATACTTATATAAGTGAAGTCTTTATCAATTGAAAGTCATATAATAGGGTCGTTACAATATAGTTTAAGAATCCAAACCCAATAACATTAAATACTTTTCTATTGAATTTTACTGTTAAGGAAAGTAGAAAATAGTTTCAAAGAATCATGAATCTTTTTATGCAGATACTGTAGTTTTATTGAAATTGACTGAATCATGTGCATGGTCTCTTGTTCTCAACTTTTTACCATGATTCCGTTATTGGACATCATGTAGGTAGCCCTTCAATGGTCTCTTGTTATAATTCTATAAGCTCATAAACATCCACTTAATGAAATCTAAATTAAGATTTGGCGTATCGAAGTTATATACTACAGCTTAAATTGAATTATTTGCATTTCAAGTTGTCTATGATTGTTATTTACTTACTTCGTGTGACTACATACTTTGCATGCTTACATCTTTTTGACAAAGTTTGACAATAAAAATTAATGTTCTTAGAGGAAATACAATCTGATAGAGTTGTAACTTGAACTCCTACATCAGAAAACATGATAACTAGCTATTATTTGTTTTATGTTCATATGTCGAATACATAATAACTGCTTTTGAGGAAAAACTACTATTTGTAATTTCTCAGTTTTTTGTCAATTTTCTCACTATTGGTATGTATTTTCATTTTCTCGTATTGCCAAAGGTTGCTTTTGTTGCATTTGTCACATGCACAGTATTCCTGCGGACGAGGTTACATCCCACAGATGAGGCTTACGGAAACCTTTATCTTTCTGCTCTATTTTTCGGGCTGGTTCATATGATGTTTAATGGGTTTTCTGAGTTGCCTCTAATGATATCTCGGCTTCCTGTATTTTATAAGCAAAGAGATAATTTATTCTATCCTGCATGGGCATGGTCAATTACCAGTTGGATTCTTCGTATTCCTTACTCCGTGATAGAGGCTGTTATATGGACTGTTATTGTATATTACACTGTTGGATTTGCCCCTGCAGCGGGAAGGTATCTTAATTTCATAACATATTTCTGTTGCGATTTTTCTTCTCTTTTTCCCTCGTAATCATTGCATTGTATTAAATGTTTCAGGTTTTTTCGCTACATGTTATTACTTTTTGTAATGCATCAAATGGCGTTAGGTCTCTTCCGGTTGATGGCTGCTATTGCACGAGATATGGTTCTTGCAAATACATTTGGATCAGCTGCGCTGCTGGTTGTATTCTTGCTGGGAGGATTTATTGTCCCTAAAGGTAGGCGGCACCACAAAATTATTAGAGAAAAGATAACTGCATTGCTGTTAGTGATTTGGATGTTATTCTTATTCCTTCAGGAATGGTTAAGCCGTGGTGGATTTGGGGTTATTGGTTGTCACCCCTTACCTATGGACAACGTGCAATTACAGTCAACGAATTTACTGCTTCAAGATGGATGAAGGTATTTTATTTGGAATGTAATTTTCTTCTTATTTGCCTGTTACTTTTTGATTTCACTAGTTAATACTGTTAAGGAAACTTTACCCAAAAACTTAAGCTGTCAAAGAACAGTTTTCATTTGTAGTACCTTCGCATGTAGTCCTATGATAACTTGCTCTACGAAGAATGTGTTCAACAATTAAGGATTAATATTTTTGACCGCCTTGTGATATAGGCTTTAATATCATGTCAAGAATCAATCAAAATCTTAATCTGAAGGTGTGAATCATCATAAGTATTCTTTATTTGGAATGACTCTAGAGAATATTTATGAATTATTTTGTTAATTGTCTGCAGAAATCAGCAATTGGGGACAACACAGTTGGGAACAATATCCTCCATTCACAAAGCCTACCAACTGAAGATTACTGGTATTGGGCTGGTCTTGGAATTTTAATAGTCTATGCACTTTTTTTCAACAACATGGTCACTGTGGCCTTGGCCTATCTGAATCGTAAGTTTTGAATTATATTTTCCCATTTTTTTTTTCCAATTTAGAACATGCATTCTCTCTTAATATATATATATATATATATATTTATATCCCTTTTCTTCTTCGTCTCTATTACTTTTAATACAGCACTTCAAAAAGCACGTACAGTTATTCCTTCAGATGATGACTCGGAAAAGAATTCTTCCAGAGATGGTAATGAGCCAACCATAATTTGCATGAATAATCACATATTATCTACTTCACTTTGTTGGACCAGAGAATCAAAGATTGATGATATATTGACCAAAAATATTTCACAAATCATCACTTGGTTATGCAGTCAGTAATCAGGCCCGTGAGTTGAGAACCCCTACCAGATCTGCGAGAGAGGACCATAATACGAAAGGAATGATTCTTCCATTTCAACCATTAACAATGACATTCTATAATGTCAATTATTTTGTTGATATGCCAAAGGTGAGGGGATTTGTTGTTTCTAATTCTATCAACTGAAATACAATAATGCGATATATGCATTGACATAAACACCAGAAAATATAGGAGAGATCTCTTTAATTACCATTAACTGATTCTAAAAGCATTTTTTTTTACAGGAGATAAGCAAGCAAGGCGTACCTGAAACCAGGTTGCAGCTCTTGGATAGTGTGAGCGGAGTTTTCTCACCGGGTGTCCTTACAGCATTAGTGGGGTCTAGCGGGGCCGGAAAGACCACTTTAATGGATGTACTTGCTGGCAGGAAAACTGGAGGGTATATAGAAGGGGACATTAAAATATCTGGTTACCCAAAAGAGCAACGGACATTTGCCAGAATATCAGGATATGTTGAACAAAATGACATACATTCTCCTCAAGTAACAATTGAGGAGTCACTATGGTTTTCTTCATCTCTTCGCCTTCCAAAGGAAATTACCGTTGAAAAAAGACGTGTAAGTTGTTTCGTGACACATTGTTTATCTGATTGTATTGAATTATTTCCAACTTTAATATACTGAGATTAATATTCTGCAGGAATTTGTTGAACAAGTAATGAAACTAGTTGAGCTTGATACTCTGAGACATGCTTTGGTTGGTATGCCAGGTAGTTATGGGTTATCAACAGAGCAAAGAAAGCGATTAACAATTGCAGTGGAGCTTGTAGCAAACCCTTCCATTATTTTTATGGATGAGCCGACGTCTGGACTTGATGCACGTGCAGCAGCTATTGTTATGCGAACTGTTCGTAATACCGTTGATACTGGAAGAACTGTGGTTTGCACCATACATCAACCAAGTATTGATATATTTGAAGCATTTGATGAAGTTAGTTCAATTACAACTTTTTAGTCATTTGACTTTTTTGATAACTAATGGTGCACTAGCTTCTATCTAAGAATCTAAACCTTGGTTTTTACTACCCAGTTAATTCTCATGAAACGTGGAGGACGAATTATATATGGGGGAAAGCTTGGTGTGCAGTCACAGATAATGATAGATTACTTTCAGGTGACGTAACGATTTAGTTTTATAGTATTATTATTATCATTACTTTTCACTCCCTAAACATGATTATCAGTACATCAAGGTAGAAACTTAATCAATGAAATGTAAGATGACACCATCTTTATATGGCAGATAATCTATATGACACTATCTTTAACTTAGTGTTGCATTCTGTGAAAAAGTTACACCTTAATGGCTCTCCTTCTAAAATGTCTAACTTCGCCACAAAGCTTTATCTTCTGTAATCTACAATTACAAGAGTGCTATTGTAGAATTTCTTTCATGACTGTCTAATTACTGCTTCTGCAAATGGAAACATCCGGCTTTTCCTTCAAACACTAGTTTTTTTTGTTTCCCTTCTTTATATGATACAATCATATATTAGGTTTTGCTAGTATGAATATGGTTATCCTGTTGTTAGATGCTTATACTTAGATTTTATATTTATCCTCACTTTGGAGATTCTTCTTTGTACTTCTAGCTTTTAATATAATAGGAAGAGCCATGAGCAGAGTAGGTCAGATGATACTTCGTGGGATTTTCATGAATACGTATAAAAGAACAGAGCTGGGGGGAAAGGAAGAGAACACGTACAAAAGAACAGAGTGAGGAAGAGATAAGAAAGAGAATCAGGAGAGTGGAGAATAATTTAGAATTCCATTATTCTTAGTTAAAGAAAACATAACTATAGTCTAGATGTAACTTTTGATCTTATCTGGCATCTCTAATTTCTTAAATATTTGTGACTGAGTATGACAAAAAATGCCTCTGCCTAATAGTTTTTCTGTTTTTTTTTTTTTTTTTTTGGATTTCTTTTCTGAAACAAATTTAAGGATGCAAATGTACTTTCTTTTGTTGCTTATCTTTTTTATTTGTGGTTGTTTTCCTATTTGCTCTGCAGGGAATCAGTGGAATTCCCCCTATTCCAAGTGGGTACAATCCAGCTACCTGGGTGCTTGAGGTTACTACACCTGCTACTGAAGAAAGAATTGATGCAGATTTTGCAGAAATTTACAAGAATTCGGAGCAATTCAGGTGTTTTTAATAAGCGCTTTTGACAGTCTTATTTTCATTCCTATTTTTGTGGTAAGCTGGGAGAGAGATGATACAGATAAAAAGCCCATCTTATAGAAGGAAAAAAAACCATGATGTTACAACCCTTAAGCTACAGGTGGTAGAAGAGAAAGATTGTTTTTCAGATGAATGATTAAACTTTTTAATCAATGTTTTAATCAGGGGGGTGGAAGCTTCTATTTTGCAATTTGGACAACCTCCTGCCGGCTCAGAACCACTGAAGTTTGATTCTACATATTCACAAAACCTTTTGCAGCAATTTTTTCTATGCTTATGGAAACAAAATCTTGTTTACTGGAGAAGTCCACCATATAATGCCATGAGGATATACTTCACCACAATCAGTGCTGTGATATTTGGTACCGTATTTTGGGATGTTGGTTCAAAAAGGTAGCCATTTTCTATGTTCTCATTTGTTGTAAAGGGAATTCTTTTATGAATGTAATACTAGACCGTGAAGAGGCCAAAATTGGAATATATTATTTAAATGGAGCTGCTTAAGTAGACAAAGGAGGACTGACTCTATATAAGACTTGTTAAAATGATTATTTCTTGGGATCTTTTAAGGCAAACTAAAACTCGCAGGGCTGACTGCTCTAATTATCCTGAAGTCAACCCTTAGATATATATATATATGTGTGTGTGTGTGTGTTAAAATTCAAAAATTCCTTTTGTTTGATCAAAAATAGATTAAATGTTATTGCTGGTGAAAGTTTTCTGACCCCAGTACTAATGAAACAGTTGTCATCAATGTTCTGCAGGGCATCAACTCAAGAGTTATTTGTGCTTATGGGAGCTCTTTACTCCGCATGCTTGTTTCTTGGGGTAAACAACGCTTCTTCTGTACAACCAATTGTTTCAATAGAAAGGACAGTGTTTTATAGAGAGAAGGCAGCTGGAATGTACTCTCCAATCGCATATGCGGCAGCCCAGGTAGGTCTTACGATACTGGAAATTATTTTCATGGTTAAATTTTTTATGCGATTTACTTATAATGATTGCTTAATCTGGTTAACAGGGGCTTATAGAGATACCATACATTGCTGTTCAGACAATAGTATTTGGTATAATCACATATTTCATGATCAATTTTGAAAGGACAGCCGGTAATATTTCAACTTTCCATGTGTAGATATTTTTTGCTTCTACTTGGAATCCACTTACAATGTAGTAATAAGAACAGTGACCATCTTCCTCCCCCACCCTCTCAAAACAGATTTTGGAATGTTGAAATTCGTAGTTGAATTACTTACCTTCGTGTCATAATAATACATGGTTATTTTGGCGGTAGTGTTGGTGTGTATAGATTGATTATTGACAATAGTGGAAATTGTACTAGACCCAGTTCCTTCTAGAAATCGTTTATAGGATATGCTTTCTTGAATGGTTTCAAGAATTTTAACAGTACTACTTGAAGTAGGTATCTCGTACGTCATTCCATAAGCGCTATTGGTTTTAATATAGGAGGACATATTAAGGAAGGAAGTCAAATATGCCTCAAGCAAAGAGTTTCATTCATTAATTAAATAATTGCTGTCAACTTTTATTGTCCTCCAATTCATAAAACAAAAATAAATTGAAGTTTTATTTAAGTTTTCCTCTATCTAGTTTCATTTATATTTCTAATATCAGTTTTAGGTGAATATGCGTTTTGTTTTCTTCAATTTTTCTTGAGAAATGAAATGTTACATCTGCAAGTTTAGCTTTTTATTTTAAGTAGGCTTTCTTTTCAAATGAAAAGTAGAAGGCAGAAATGATTGTAGATGTTACATGTGAATAAAATGTATGTGCTCAAATAGATAATTTTTCTTTATCGCAGGAAAGTTTTTTCTCTATCTTGTGTTCATGTTCCTAACGTTCACCTACTTCACCTTTTACGGCATGATGGCTGTTGGTCTTACACCTTCCCAACACCTAGCAGCTGTTATTTCTTCAGCATTTTACTCCCTGTGGAATCTTCTTTCAGGTTTTCTCATCCCACAAGCGGTGAGTAATCCCATACTTTCTAGACATTTTTTCTCTTTAAGAATAATGAATGAGTTAATTCAGAGCTGAATATAATACATGCATTGCCTTATAGTTAAATAGGGAAGTCGTTTTCCATTGTCCAATTAATTACGAAAAAATATCATAAGGCGTAGTTAGTAGGTATTGAAAACCCAGAATCATTCAGTTGATACAAGCAAAATCTTACAACTGGACTCAATGACATTATAACTTAAGGGGTAAGCGGGTAAGCTTAAACTTCCCTACTTTTGTTAATGCAGTCATTGGTAGATTATTGTTTTCTGTATGTTTCCATATTCTTACGTGTACTATATTCGTGAAAGAAAAAGAGAAGTGAACCTTTGCAACTAAATTCCAATTCAGTTTCTTGGATTTTTATTTTTTTTAAAGTGTGAGAAGTTTTCATTTCTCTCGGGTTCTAATGCAATGATTCTTGTAATGTCTCAGAGTATTCCGGGATGGTGGATTTGGTTCTATTATATCTGTCCAGTTTCATGGACGTTACGGGGTATCATCACGTCTCAGCTAGGTGATGTGGAAACCAAAATTGTGGGACCTGGATTCGAGGGCACTGTGAAAGATTATTTATCTCATAGTCTTGGTTATGATCATACAATCAACGGATTTACATCTGTGGGACTCTCAGTGATAGTGCTTATTGGATTTATTCTCCTCTTCTTTGGTTCTTTTGCTGTATCAGTTAAAGTTTTGAATTTCCAAAGAAGATGATTTGGTGATGTGGTTTGAAAAGATGGGAGGAGCTACTCTTCAACATCGGAGCAGATGATTCTGACACTGGGTGACAGAGGTTTGGGATGCTATGTCCAAGTGATTGAGGATGATGCCTGAGAAAATCATCATTGCACGGGGGTCTGGTTATAAAACCTAAAAAAATGACGACGTGTGATCCAACTGATGAGGTTTTTCCTTCTTTTCTTATCCTGCGGATTGCCAGAGGAATTCCAATTTTGAAGCCAAATAAATTTGAAATTTTCGGGTCTTTTTGGTTTCATCTTTTCAGTGAATAGCTCTGCTCCTAGCCATTTTGCTGGTGTAGCGTCGAGGCGTTCTGTTTTGCCCCTAGATCAGTGTAAAAGATTAGGATATAAAGGGATTGTTTTAGACGATGATTTTATCATCTAGATACAGATCAAAGTATATGGAATTTTTTTTTTTTTTTTTTCATATGATCCCACATGGATCTATACACTTTTATGTATGTGTGTAAGAGATAATTTCTACAACATTGGAAGCATTAATCTTATCATTATATTAGTTTCTTTTAAAAAGTTTGTTATTATTTAGTTCATTAAAAAATTTAAAACAGTACCATATTTATTTTTATGAAAAATAATTTTGGAAATATATACAAAGGGAATAGTGTTCTCTAACTTCAAATGCAACATAATTTGAGTTCACCCACATTAAAACCTTCGATACAAATACGATTTGCTTATTTGGTATATTCACATGACATGGTATGAATAACTTGTTGTAACGCCCGACCCGGCTGCTTTAAGAATCAACGACTATCCCCACATACTAACACGAGACTTTTCAGTGTGCTTTTTTCTCACTCGCACACTTCTCGGGAAAACTTCCCAAGAGGTCACCCATCCCAGAATTGCTTCAAGTCAAGCACGCTTAACTATGGAGTTCTTCCGTTCCGGGCTACCGAAAAACAGATGCATCTTGTTAGTATAGGTAGTACCAATTAATTCTTATAAGCTACCCCAAATTGTGCAGTCTCATACCTGCATAGTCTTTGGAATCCCTCTCTTTCGGGTGTTGATTCGATTCATTCGTGCATGTAACCCCGCACTGGAAGCCTGTCAGGAGCCGCTCCTTGTCTGTGCCTCTTTGCACCGGCGATCACTCCCCGCCTTCGTTAGCGCTCGGGATGTTACATGGCGGCTCCTAACAGGCTTCCAGTGCGGGGTTACATGCACGAATGAATCGAATCAACACCCGAAAGAGAGGGATTCCAAAGACTATGCAGGTATGAGACTGCACAATTTGGGGTAGCTTATAAGAATTAATTGGTACTACCTATACTAACAAGATGCATGTAACGCCTGGCAACTTGCAAGGATCAACGACTGTCCCTACACACTAACACGAGACTTTTCAGCGTGCTTTGTCCTCACTCGCACACTTCCCGGGAAAACTTCCCAGGAGGTCACCCATCCCAGAATTGCTCCAAGTTAAGCACGCTTAACTATGGAGTTCGTCCGTTCCGGGCTACCGAAAAGTAGATGCATCTTGTTAGTATAGGTAGTACCAATTAATTCTTATAAGTCATTCATAATTGTACCGTCCTATACCAGCACAGTCTCTGGAATCCCTCTCTTTCGGGTGTTGATTCGATTCATTCATGAACCCCCAAGCTGCAAGATTTGGCATGAGCTGCTCATTGTCCGTGCCCTTTCACACCGGCGATCACTCCCTGCCCTTGCCAGCTCTTGGGTTGTTACAATGCATCTGCTTTTCGGTAGCCCGGAACGGAAGAACTCCATAGTTAAGCGTGCTTGACTTGGAGCAATTCTGGGATGGGTGACCTCCTGGGAAGTTTTCCCGGGAAGTGTGCGAGTGAGGAAAAAGCACGCTAAAAAGTCTCGTGTTAGTATGTGGGGATAGTCGTTGATTCTTGAAGCGGCCGGGTGTTACACTTGTGAACTTCAAGTACAATACAACACAAATAATTTGTTTATGACACGATACAATATAAATAATTTGTAAAAAAATTAAAGCGGATTATTTTCGGGTTCGCTGACTAAAACAAACACGATAAATTTGAAAATAAGTTAACCTAAACACGAATTTTTCATGGAAAATATAGCTCTCCTGTTGTTGTAATTTTTTTTTTTGTTGCAATAACACATAAAAAGCCAAGATACATCGACAGATCTTGGATTTTTTTTTTAAAATGAGTGGGTCCTACTTTTTTTGTGTTTGCACTAAAAAAAATCTCATCTACAGTGACTGCAGAAAAGAGACCCATTTATATATCATATTTGTGTCGTGTCAATGAGACGTATTGAAAATTGCTATAACAACCCACACGTCAAGACAAGTAATAACCAGTCAAGAGCACAAGAATTAAGTGAATATAAGAATGTGCTACAACAGATAATTAGCCGCTACAACAGTTCTGCAAAAACCCACACTATTAAGTGATTTAATGGGTATTTATGACAAGTAAATCATGGAATTAATATGATAATATGAACATGGATTATTTTGATAATAAGAATGGTAAAATTGATATAAACTTATGATTTAGAGCATTTTGACACCTTTCGAGAAAAAGTGTGAATAGTAAAAATTTTCCAGGTAAAATACTACTATGAAAATTACTGGAAAAACTCAGAAATGAGACGATTATATAAATGATGTCATAATTATTAAATTATATTTCTGGGATTAAATTATAAGTGGGTTAAGTTATAAGAGTTAAGTAGCAATTAGAGTGGTCAAAGTCAACTTTTATGTGAGACCACTTAAGTGACATGGAAGTGAGAGAAAACATTAGTTAGAAACCTTCATCTCCTCCTTCTTCTCTCTCCAAACCAACGGCTATCATGGTGTCTTAGGGCAAGGAAGAGCTTTGCTTTGTTCTTCAAATTTTCACCACTTTTTAGCCACCAAATCACTAAACACCTAACATGTGTTTTGTCCTCACTCACACACTTCTTAGGAAAACTTTCCAGGAGGTCACCCATCCCATAATTACTGCAAGTCAAGCACGCTTAACTATGGAGTTCTTTCATTTCGGGCTACCGAAAAGTAGATGCATTTTGTTAGTATAGGTAGTATCAATTAATTCTTATAAGCTATCCCAAACTGTGCAGTCTCATACCTGCACTGTCTTTGGAATCCCTCTCTTTCGAGTGTCGATTCGATTCATTCATGTAACCCCCGCTGGAAGCCTGTCAGGAGCCGCTCCTTGTCCATGTCCTTTAGCAACGACAATCACTCCCCGCCCTCGTCAGTGCTCGGGATGTTACAGAGTGAGTTATCTCCTCCTCAAGGGCTCGAGGTACTGTTCTTAAAGAAGAGAAAACTTGATGCTTTTGGGTGATTAATTGCTTGGAAGTTAAACTTGTTTCTTTTGAGGTCATTTGAGGTAAGGTACTTCAATTCCTATGCTTGGAATCCTTTATTTGTGAGATTATGTTCATGAGTATTTTTAGTGGGAAAAATGTTGATTTTGAAATTTGAATTTGATGGAATGGAGTATGAGTCATGATTGATTATGATTATAGTATTGTGAAAGCAAGCTTGGATTTGTTTGAAAGTTAAAAAAATTCTCCTAAAAACCTTCTGTTGATTTTCGACCATTAAGGGGTGTTGGAGAGTTTTGATGTGTTAAATTCATATGGTTGGTGTCTTAGGCTTATTATGTGTTGTTGGATTGAAATGGAGTAAGTAACCATTCTCATTGTGTTAAAAGTCTAAGAAAAATCTCCTTGGTTCCGATTTACAGAGGTTACTTTGTCCGATTTTCGTCTCCGTCAAATAAGAATTAAACTAGACAAAGAAAAAAGTTAACTCGTATTTTCGCAAGTTAAGTCTTTCGCTGTTTCTGTTTGTATTGTAACGCCCCGTTCTAGAATCGGTTTGTTAACATCGCATTATGATATTAAGCGCAGTTACAATCACATTGGCTCAATTAAAATCCAGATAAGTTTTTCTTTTTAAAACGACGCCGAATTTAAAATAGCCAATTGCGTGATCATAACCATATTACCTTGCGGAATCAGATAAATTAAGCTTAACATCATGTTCTTATTCCATTTATAAACCATTAATTTACTTCCTATTTATTTCACAATTTCTACTATATTGTAGATCTCTTCGTTAGCTACGCGTGGTTTCAAACCGCTCCTCATTTGGAGCTCTGTAGCTCAAGTTATGACAATTTTACTAACTCAGGTGTATGCTGAAAAACTACGCGGGCAGGGCGCTTAAGCGCGCTCCAGGGCGCTTAAGCGCCCACAGACAGAGGGAATTCACATTTTTTGGCCACCAAGGGCGCTTAAGCGCGCTTAAGCCCCAGGCGGCAGAAAGCTTTTGGTCTTCACAGGTGCATCAGGGCGCTTAAGCCCCATGAGCAGGCTTAAGCCTCCATTTGCAGGCTTAAGCCCCCTCTTCTGGGCAATTTCCTATACTCATATTTTTCATGCATCTTTCTTGGGGAATCAATCCTACACATTTTACAACCTATTTAACAAGCTTGTGATATCCCTATATCATTGCTTAACTCTCATCCTCTCATCATTGATTTAACGGAAATTGGGCAACATAATCTTTGTTTTCTCAACGTTTCCCAACTTAGCACAAGGTACCTAATTGACTTTCCAGCTCAACATATCCAATACATAAAAATACATTCATTCATTTAACTTACAGTAATCATCATACACAAATATCTTCATTACTTACAATATTACATCATGTCTTAATTACAAATCTCATATACATGCCAAAGGACTTAGCTACAAAATGAACATGATCAAAGCAAGTAACCATGTATCAGATACCCATTACTACTACAATGATCATGCACTAAGTCCTCCAAAATACATCACATGACATCAAAATATACATATAGCAATGCTAAATGGCATGCAACTCAACATGTCCAGCTATCAGGTACAGTCTACTCACGCTTCTTGCCTCGACCAACCTCACCTCTATCAGTACCTGAAATGATGCCCCACAACACGGGGTGAGATATACGAATATATCACAGTAAACCAGAGGTCCTTGGAGATCACTCCACCCTAAGGTCCACTTCGATGTACACATAATCATAATAGCTTAACACATTCTTATCCACAAGCATCACATGGACTTCCAAGAAAGATCCACTAAGGGCTGTTTCTCTTAGGCTCTTACCACATGGAGATCCACATAGGGCTGTTTCCAAGGGAAGTCCTTTCCTCAATCTATTCCAAGAGAGATCCTCAAAGGGCTGTTTCTCTTAGGCTCTTACCACATGGAGATCCACCTAGGGCTGTTTCCAAGGGAAGTCCTTTCCTCAATCTAGGAACCTCCAAGAGGGATCCACATAGGGCTGTTCCTCTTAGGCTCTAACCACATGGAGATCCACATAGGGCTGTTTCCAAGGGAAGTTCCTACCAATCATCCTCATCATAATACTATCACTCATAACCTCAATCACAATCCTCAACCATTACCTCATTCATTATTGCTACTTCTATAACCATTCCTCAATTACTCTTAAACAATCAAACATCAACCAATAATCATCAATCAATCATAGCATGTATCAATGCATGAATCAATGCATGAGCATACAATTACTATCATAATTACATATCACATCTCATAAACCATTTCTCCTCAACGGAGTATGGTGGAACACTCAATGGGATCAACCACAAGGTCCAAAGGTTTACCTTGCTCTTGAGCTTTCCTCAATTGCACATAACCCCAAGGGTTGGTCACTCCACTTGGTCCTATTGCCTCATTTCTATCAACACAAGGAATACAATCAAACAATGCTAACAATGCAAGGAAATCCATAGTTCCAAGCCTAGATTTATCCAAACATCAAAGCATACTAAAATAACATTATAAACTCATTTCTACCGATTAAATGTTATTCCTAGCATTTTTCACAACATACTCTAAGCCTCATTCTTCCTTGAACATAGCCAATCTACTCAACATTTCATAAAAACCCTAAAACACTATTCATTAAACCCTAACCATGAAATTTTCCAAGAAAACAAGGTTCAAGGGTTAGAATCTTACCACCAATGGTCGCACAACCAAGGATTGATGGCTCCTCAAGCTCCAATGGAGGTTGAAGCTCCCAAAACCCCCAAATTCTCACAAAGAGGCGGAACTTTGAGAGAAAAAATCTCACAACACAACACTCCCCACTAAGAACCAAGCTTGGATTATGAAAGAGGGGAAGATTTAAAGTGGTTTAGGCTTTTGAATCACCCAAAACGGTTAAGGTTTCCTCCCTCCTCTCTCTCTTCTTCTCTCTTCCTTTCTTCTTCTTCTTCTTCTGTTTGCTTCTCTCTCTGGCTCGACGGAAATGGGGTGGGAAATGGGGCTCTTTTGGTGTCTTAGTCACTTAACATAGGTTAAGTGACTTTAAGCGGGTATTGGTTCGTCTATCTATTCAACTCCATTAATTACCAAACTTTACCCAAAAGTCTGGAATATTTTTCTAGGAATGTTTCTAATTTTATTTTTATATTTTGGGTACTTTTGCCTACACCCATTTATACCCCTTAATTTTCACTGAGTACACTTTTTAACTCCAAGTGACTCAGATTCATTTAATTAAGCCTTATACTTAATTTTACTCACTAAAATATGCTTAATTATTTAATTAAAATTAATCAATTAAATGCTTAAGTTTGGGGTATTATATGTATCATATGCATGTTAATTGAACCGGCTCGAGACGGGGATGTTACAGTGAACATATTGTGATTATCCCACTAGAGGATCTAAGCTCTTGGGAGTCACTATCATATGCTGACTAATCCATTAGAGGACTTAAGCTCTTAGAGGTCATATATGTCTCATATCATTTGATATGTTCAGTATGTGATGTATATGCTATGCTTTGTATCTGGCCCTTCTTGCAAGAAGTGGGCTGAGGAATGGGGAATACTCTATAAACCCTAAGCTTACTGAGATTTGTTATCTCACCCCTTCTTGGTGACATGATTGCAGGTGTGCTGATCGTGAGAAAGCCCTATGAGGCTAAGGATGTGATTCAAATTTAGCAGAGCTGACCTAGTGGACTAGATAGTCCTTCTTTGTGGAGACTCTGTTATGTTCATTATGCGGTTATTATGCATGATTCGCCTTTTATACATGGCTTGTAGTTATTTGAAAGATTATTCTTATATGATGTATGTTTATTTGACAATCAGGCATATATGTACATGTTTATTCAGTAAGATGAATGTATTTGTAATATGTACATGAAAAGATATGTAGTGGCATGTAGCCAATAGTTGTTAATCCCATGGATGGATTTTATGTTTTCGTTGGGAAATATATATATATATATATATATATATATATATATATATATATATATTTTATACTGATTTTTCTGATTGGCAGGAATTATATAGAGATGGGTTTATTCTCGAGATTGTCCAATTTACAGTTGTTATGCTGTCCGTTTGACTCTGTCAGGGTTGATACCAATTGTCATACCCTGATGGTCATTGACCATTACTTATGGTTTCATAATTTGTAAGATAGTATCAGAAACTCTATATCAGTATGAGACGATACGGTATATTTGAATAATTTAGTAAAAAGTTTATGCTTTGCAAGGCATCAAGTGACAAAGAAAAGGAAAAAGTTAACTCGTAAGATTACGATATGTATAAGTAAGGTTTTAGATTAAGTCTTTCGCTTTCGCATGTTAAATTATGTGACATTTTAATACCATATATATGTTAACTAATCGGCTTGAGATGGGGATGCTACAATTGCCATTTTGGGGTTTAAGAAAAATTACACTATTTTAAAAATTTTACTTTCCTTAAATTTTACTAAATTATTTTGCATTTTTTTTTTTTGCAGAAAACTTTTTTATTTTCCTGAAGATAGAGAAATTGTGGGCTCATGGGATTTTTTTTTTTTTTTAAATAAAATATTTCACATGCTTCAATGTGACCGTAAGACTAATTTATTCCTACCACACAAGAAATTATTCTTCCTTTTTTTTAATCCAAAATGACATTATTTTGAAATGAGAGGATATAACTTTATCTATTTTTATAGAAAAACATTAATTTAAAAATTATTTTTTATCTTTGAGAATTAATTTCATTAAAATTATTTTTTTAAAAGACTAATATGATGATATGACAATATTTGAAAATAATATACCTTAAAAATTTATTATAAAAAAATAAGTTTTTACTGGATTATAGTGAAGATATTAGTTTTTAACAAAAACTAAAATAAAATCAAAATATAATGCAGCAGTAAGGTTTGAATATTAGCACAATATTAACACCTTATTTGATATTGTGCAGAAATTATAACGAAGACAGTTTTATTAACACAACGATCTTCATTCATTTTTGTAATTTTTTATTTATTTTTACATCCCATGCAACTGGGAATTCTTATTCGCTGGTACATGAAAATGTGCACATGGAAAATGATATCGATAGAAAGTAAGGAGGGAATGTGGTGAAGTAAAACAAATGAAAAACAGAGGCGCAATTTTAAAACCAATATGTCATTGTTAAGCTTTTATTAGGTAGAAAGAATTATGCAATGCATCGAGATCTCTACTTTTAATAGTTTATGATGGAGCCAAAGCCTGGCACACAAGTTTCACCATGAACAGCAACCGGCGAACTCTGTAATCCAAGGGAGGAATTTCCGTTATCCATAGTGTAGCATTGCTTTTCTTAGCATGGGGGAAGGAAACAAAGCCACTCAAGTGGTAATGGCATCAAAGGATGGTTTAGCTCCGAAATTGACCATAGGATATTCGTCTGTCACATAAAAATGCAAATGTCAAAGAAGAACCACTTGATTCAAAACTCTAAAATATTGATTCGATAAGTACTTCAGGCTAGCATAACTAAGTCCTTTTTTTTTTTTTTTACATCAGACCTGGGGATGTAAATGGGCTAAGTTTGTCTACAGAAACTTACGACTTAGTTTATATTAGGACAAACTTGACCTGTTATAAATAATCAAATAGAACAGTCCTAGGCTTTTTAAAAAAAAAACTATTTAAAAATTAGACCATATGCTTTTTTATACATGTCGGACCTATAAGTAAATAAAAATATTATTTTAATAATTTTGAATAATAAGGTAATATTATTTTAATTATTTTTTTAATTATGAAATGTTTAATAGTCTTAAACAGGCTAACAAGCCGTAAAAGTTTTTATTTTTTAAATATAGGTCAGGATAAACTTATAATTTGAGCCTACACATGCTAACAGATAAGACCAGACCTAAGATTTTTTTTATCATAGGCTTGACCTATTTAATTTAAAGTCTACTTTTGTACAAATTCGAAATGGGAGTCTAAAATAGATGAACAAATTGAAGTTGTTATATGACTTGTGACAGCTAGGAATATACTTACTGATCATCAGTGGAGTTTTGAGAACAAAAAAACATGCAGCAATGACAAGGTAACAGAGAAAAAGAACCACTCCTTTCATGTAGTGTGAAGTTCCATCCTAAAAGAAAACAATAATATCATACTATTAACAAAATAAAAAAGAAAAGAGAAAAAAGAAAGTGGCCATATATAGAAGATATTGTGCATACCTGCAAAGTGAATGCTGTAACGATAATTGTAAAAGCGAGACACCCAGTTTCAAGAAGATTGAAATCCAGATCCATTCGTATACCCATTACCCATGCAACAACCACACTTAATGGAACCTGAAATTGATTATTAGATAATCAAAATTTGTTGGTGTCTGCAAAAAAATAGGGAGAAGGATATTTTGTCTATAATTATCATCACCACCTTTATTCTTTTCTACACATCACAAACATTACATTAAAATAGTAACTGATTCTTACCACAAACATAGAAATTTGAGTTGCAGATCCCATAGCAACACCCAAAGATATGTCCTGCATTATAATGAACCACACAGCGCCATTCATTAATTTTAAAGCCAACTAATCAATAAAATTAAGCTTATATACAAATTGAAATTTATGCTGCAACAAAATATATAATTGACAAACCGTACCAACTTGTTCTTAAAAGCAAATATGATCGAACCGGCATGTTCTGCGGCGTTCCCAACAATTGGTAGCAAAATTATGCTAATGAAGCTAACAGAAATGCCCCAAGAATCTGAAGCAGCCTAGTTAAGCATAAAAGGATATATTTAAACCCATTAATCTAATATATGCTTAGTTCATGCCATTGAAAATTCAGAGTTTACAATGGCCACAATCATATAATTACAAATTATACACACACACACACACATATATATATATATATATACCTCAATTGTTCCCACAACATATTCAGAAAGCACAGATATGAGCAATGTCATACCCACCAACCAGCTAAATGCACTCCCAAACCCTATCACGGCCTTCTCTTCATCTTCATCTTCCTGAAGATCAAATGGTCAAATCCCACACCTAATTAAAGTGGTTATGTAGTCTAAAACTTTATCATATTATTATTAATCATCACCTCTTGTGCATCAAATATTTTTCGATGAGTTTTTAATTGGAAGAAGATATATGCAACATATGCTAGAAGCATAACAATGCTGCTTGCTCTTGACAATTGAAGAGTAGAGGTTGCTATAGAATAATTGCCCCCTGCTAAGGCATATTTGAACAGTAATGGCAACAAATGGCATAGCAACCCCAGCAATAAAAGCAGTGAGTTTACATCAGCCTGTTTCTGTTCATTCAATGATTAAATAACAAAACACTTGATTAGAAAAATAAAAAATAAAAAACAGTGACTAATTTTGCATAATGTGTAAACAAGAAGGAAGAAGTTATATATACTCTGTCATATCTTTGCTCCTTCTTAAGGTTGGCCAAGCCACCACAGAGGAGTGAACTGCCAAGAACTAAGAGAAGGTTTGAGAGTATGGAACCCAGCAGTGAGAACTTCACAACATGAACTTTGTTTTTGTGAAGTGCTAATATTGCTATGATCATCTCGGTTGCATTACCACAAGTTGCATTCAGAAGTCCTCCAACTGAACATCCACACAAACCAAAATCAAATTGGTTTCCTTTATCACGCAATATTATGCAAAGTAAAGCTCATCAATGCACCACTCTAGTTTCATTTACTTTTATCATATTATTTAGCTAATTTAGTGTATAATAAATTTTCATTCTTTTAACTTTTGTAGTGTCTTAAGATTTTGAGAGATAAAATAGATGATGGTACCTGTTGGGCCAGTGTAATATGCAATTTGCCTTCAAGTTCGTGCGGTCCAGGTAAAGTTTTTGTTGTAATCAAACGCAAGAGAAAAACAGAATGTTAGAAAATATATAACTAATGGTCATAATATGAAGAAAAATAATATATATATAGTTACTTTTAAATAAGGTTATCTAAAACTACTCTTTATAACTATGTACCGGTAATACATAGTTATAAATTAAAGTTGTTTTTTTTTTCTCTCCACATCATAGATAGGTTTTGAAAAGTAACTGAGAAGAGAAAAAGAAATTAACTTTAATGTTATAATTACGGGAAATGTTATATTTACAGACTTTTTATTTACAAACTCTTACAAGTTACACTTTGATCGGTAATACACAGATTTAGTGTAATTTGTAAATTTGTAAATGGATCATTCCCTTATAATAATTATATATATATATATATATATATATATATATATAATATAGGAAAAACATTTTCTCATGTTACAGGAGAATTTTTCATATTGCGATCCTTCGATTTGCGGGCAAAGTTTTTTTATTTTTTTTATTTTTTAATAAATATGGGATTCACCATAAGTTGAGTCATAACATGATAATTCAATTCTCATGCAACATGGAAAAATCAAACTTCATATATATATATATATATATATATATATATATATATATAGAGGTAGGATCTTTTGACACCAATGTCAAATTTGAAATTTGACATCTCATCTGAGAGCCATTAGATCAAAAAAGATCAATGGCTCTGATTTGTAAGCATGTGACACCATTGATCTTTTTCGACTAACCGACACCGATGTCAAAGGATCCCGCTTCATATATATATATATATATATATATATATATATATATATATATATATATATATATATATATTATTGTAGTGACTCTGTTGAGTTAGGAGGTGACATGCAAAAACTTACTCAGTGAGGAAGCTGACACGTTCAGCTAGCGGAGCAAGTCCAATCAAGCTGAAAGCAAAAATCCAAGGCTACGTGGCAGAGAAGCAATTAGATTTGTTGTGAATAAATCATGATGTACCCTTTCTAGACAGTACTTAATGCATATTAGGTTATAACATATAAAACTTTTAAATTTTAGAGTCAAAATCTAAATATTATATTAAGGAAAATTATACATTATATATATTAGTTAATGACATACAAATTTATAATTAAGGACGTGTGTTATTTGGTTTACAAATTATTAATCAATAATAATTAATAATTAGTTGTTGATCGAATAATATGTTATTAGCCATAAATTTATACATCATCATTAATGAGTATAAAATTGTGTGAAAAAAGTGACTGTGCGAATGGAAGTGTTGTTTAAGTAAATAGAGTGCAGATTGAGTGAAACTGAGTGAAATTCAGAGATAGTATAACATCCATGTAGGTTTACAAATGGTATGTGTATAAAGTGGGTTGGAAATCACAAGAAATTTGAATGGTTCTTACCCTTCCAAAGCTATAAAAATTTGCCGCAACAGCTAAAGGGACTGCCGGAAAAAGCACAACAAGCTTAGTGCCAAAGAGGACCTTTTGCAAGTTGGTCATGAAATTTCTAAGCAGCATTTGGAACCGAATTTTATTTGTGATCAGAACAAGCTCTGACTGCTTTCTCACCAACGAACGTGACATGTTTTGTGGTGTCTTTGGATTGCAAAGCTCCATGTTGTTCTCCAAGTCCTCATCCATGGTGGATGGCATTGGCACCGTTTGCGATGTGGTGGCCTCTGAGTCGGTGCTGCTTATTGGCATTTTAGAGGAATGAAACTAAGGCTTTATTTTCTCTCTTGGGGTGGTGAATGAATGAGCTTAAATATGTAGGAAAAGAAGCTTATTATAAGTTGTGTAATAGAGATAAGATTTTTTGTGCTTAATGTATTGTATATACGCATACCATGGTGCCATATGGTGGCTTTCCAATGTGTGTAGCCATGTAATGTAATATAATGTTGTGAAGCTTCGAGGAATTTTCGCAACTCTTGCTTGCATGAGCCACGTATAGGTGATAGGTGTTTTATTGTTGTTGATGGATGTTGGTTTATTCATGGGAAACTGGGATCGGTGAACTCTTATAACTTTTGTTGTGGAAATAAGAAAAACAAACAAATTACAAAGGTAAAAGTGAAGAAAATGAAACAGTGAGAAAAAAAGGAAAAAGAATATTGTTGCTAATGAACCTCGTACATGCTTGAGCAGCACGATCTCTAGACTCTAACTATAAGCCATGAAACATGAATCTTCCTATGCCTGGTACATATATCCACTAGCTTTTTTAATAAAAATGGATAGTTTGTCATTTTCCGTTGCGTGACCATATATAGATGAGTTGCATACTGGACATTTGGAAAGTCGTTGGTGAGGAAAGTTGGTCACTGCTTGTTTTTTATTACAATCAACTTAATTTTTTTTTTATATAAATAATTTAAATGGACATTAGTTTTTTAATGTAAAATTAGATCAGTAATTAAAGTTTTAAGGTATAAATCATTTCTCTGTATAAAATGTATATATTTTATTTTAAGCTAGTCTATTGATCAGAACAAAAAATAAGTATTTCTTTAGAGATTTTAAGTGATTTTTCTTGTGTGGTTTTGATTTTTCTATTTATTAATTAATTGCAACTTCAAATTCAATTTTAGGAATAATGTAACTTGTCTAGAGTGGGAGTTGTCTAAACCTTGGAAGTTGTCTTTATACTTAAACTAAGGATGAGTTGCTTTGTGTTTTCTTGTGCGGATGTTTCTTCGAGGGACTGTTCAAGGAGTGTTTTGAAGCAGCTATATTGTGGTTTCCTTTTCTTGTTTTCTTTTTGTTTGGGTTGTACGTATTTCTTTTAGATATTGTTTTCTTTTAGCTTTTTTTATTTGTGAATGATAGCTTATCCTTTCTTTTTTTCTTTCCCCCTTCAATTCTAATAAATTTCATTTTCTAGTGTAAAAAAAGGTTAAACTTTCATTAGACCAGTATAAAAGAAGTGCATGTCTAGTAACTCCAACAACTAAGGACTCATTTAAAGTTAAGTATTACGACTGCAAGAATGAACAATAAACAAGTGAAAAGAAGAAGAAGAAGAAAAAAACATAACAGAGAGATACCCGAGAGTGAGGTTAGATATATATATGAACTATTAGAATTGAACTCCTAAACCTTTTTAATTGATATAGTTTGATTAATTCTAGTTGAATCAATCTCCTTATTAATTTATCTTGGTATCTAAACTTGAGATTTTTATGAAAGTATAAAAACAAATAATTAGTCTCTATAATTTTAATTCATTAAAGTTTTAGTCTTTGCGCTAATATTTTTTGGATTTGAGTGCTTGCAAATTTTAACATTGGGATTTTGGTTCTTGCCATCACCTGGGATTATAATATTATTTTCATCCTGTGTGGCTAAGGGTTGCCTACGTGGATGATTATGTAGGTGAGTGAGTATTAATATTGTTAAAATCGAAATTCTACATATAAATGAAAGGGATGGTAAAAACATAAATCGTAGAAAAGATACAAAACGTAAAGTTTATACTATTTAAAGTTAAGATACAAAATTATATATGTGCATGTAAAAAAAAATATATCACATAGTCACTACTCAAAATTAAATAAATAACTTCATATTTAAAAGTTATAAGTTACATAATTATATAAGACATAAATCCAAAAATATAAAAAGAGTTTAAAAAAATACTTACTTATTATAGTTATCTATTAAGTTTTTTTTTTTTAAAAAAAATAGCTAGAAAAAAATATTGTGCATTATAATTTGGAAAAATGGGAAACATGATATTTTTTTAAGGGATCTATTAATCTCATGTTGCATGAGATAATTATCTCATGCAACAGAGATAAAATAGTGAGGTCCACTACTTTTTCGAAAAAAGAAAAAATAATGGACCCGCTATTTTGTCTCTGTTATCTCATGCAACATGAGATAATTATTTTCTTTTTTAATTATAAAATCGGGTCTTGGGTTAAAAGTTGACCCTGTTCAATTTTTTTGTTTAAGTAAAATTTTGTGTTTATATCGTTTTTATATTTTTACATGGCATTTTTAATTTATCCATTTTTTTTAAAAGAGTTTTTACTTGCGTTTTAACATCGATCACTTCACTAAAAATGTAAATTTTTATGTTTATATACTCGTTCTTAACAACAATGATGAGTACCTAGCTACAATTGCTCATGTCTTGCCATCTTCTTGATGGTGCGGTTGAAGATGGTAGAAGGAGGTTCATCCGTATGTTTGGGAGAATATCTTTGGTATTATTGTCACACTGAATAGTGGGTATGATTCCTGTTTAAAATAAAATTATAAGTTTTTGGAAATATATAAATATAATTTTTTTCTCCCTTTTTCAGAAAATATATCAATACTTATGTTGTATTTTTATTGAACGAATGTAAATGTTACGATAGTATATTATAAATTTCGTGTGTTTGAATGTAGAAAGAGCAGAGGGTGCACCTATGAAGACTCCAACTCTGAGGTCAATTATATGCATGAAAATATTCAAACCATCAAAATATGCAATATCAATAACTTGCTAAATGTCCTGTTAGGAGTTTTGGTAGGAATCACAAATTCCTTATGGAGTAGATTTTTTTTTTTTTAAATATTACAATTGATTCATTGCTTTGTGATTAGTTTAATTCAAGGAGGATTCTGCGATTAAAACTTTAAACTCATCTCAAAAAAATATTAAAAATAATATTTGAAAGAATCGAATATATATTCTCACCCCACCTACTTAATTATTTTGCGCTGCATGAGTTATTGGTTTATGGAGTAATCTTTTGACACTGTTGATGATGGTCTTGGGGATTGTGCTCGTAACAAGCTTCTAATGTTAAGACTGAAAGACTTCATATGCGCATCTTTCCTCTTCTGACAAAATTTAACATCATCTCTCAACACAACCATTAACAACGGAACAACTGAATTATTACCAATGAATAGAGAAAGAGAAAGAAAGATTCAGGAAAGAAGAAAAGGAAAAAGAAAAAGAAAGGAAGAAACTGATGCACGAAGAAGGAGGTCAAATTGGAACCAGATTCACATTCCTGAACACAATACACACCGTCTGCACTTTTCAACATTTACAAGCTTACCGTTATGATTGATGCTGACGTGTTAGTGTGCCATGTTTGATCAAATCAACAAGGTTCACCGCAAATGTAGTTATCAAAGGTGGCCTATATTACTAAAAGCAACCTTTAAATGCTTTTTTTGGAACAAGGATAAACAGTACATTTAGAGAAATAGTGTGGGCAAAAAAATTAATTTATTATTTTTTTAATAAAAAATTACAAATAAGTTGTCGTTTTGCAAAAAATTACGAATCTATAGCACCCAAACACGACATGAGGCGTGTTCTGATGGAGAGAGACACGCCCATGTGGGGCGTGAGCTTGTGAAAGAAACACGCCCAAGGTAGGGCGTGTGTGGCAGGATAGAGACACGCCCACGATAGGGCGTGAGCTATGAAGCAAACACGGCAAAGGAAGGGCGTGTTCCAGGAGAGAGACACGCCCACGATAGGGCGTGTTATCCGCGATGTATATAAATCCGTTTTTCACTTTTTTACCTCATTTCCACCCTCCCATCCTCTCTCTAAACCTCCTCCTCCTCCTTCTCTCTAAATTTCTTTTGGAGGATTTTGCGCAGCGAAGCTCTGTCTCTCTCTTATGTAAGTCCCTATTTATTGTTTTTTTTTCATTAACAGCAATTAATATATGATAGTTATTAGCGACTTAGATAATTGTTAGGGGGTTAGAAAAATATTTGTGACTTTATTTAATTGTTAGGGGGTTAGAAAAATATTTGTGACTTTATTTAATTGTTAGGGGGGTTAGAAAAATATTAGTGACCTATGTAAGATTGTGATGTGACTTATATATTATATGGACTTACAAGTTAATTAGTTACTTCTAAATTGGTATATGTTGGTTTTATGACTTATTTACACACTTAGAAATTAGTTTGTCACAATTAATTTTTTTTTATGAATGACACTTGCAAACATATTGACCTTTCAATTAACCACATTATAATTAGGGTTAAAGACGAATGAATAACGTATGCAATATTAATTTAAATTGAATTTGAATTAATATTTGTATTGAAATATATTGATAGAATAATGTAATGTTAAATGAATTAATTGTCAATGATGTTAATGTAATTGAAATTAATATAACAATTGAAGTTATTAGTTAAATGCTATTTAATTAAGTGCAATTAAATTTTATTTAGTGTAAATTAATATAATATCAATACTAATTTGGGTACATCTTTTTCATCTGTAGTAGTTTCTATTATGGCCCATTCGTCTTCATCAGAATCCTCGCGCTCTGGATCCGATGGCGATCTTGAGCCATCCGATCCTTGTACGCATGTACTTCCTGGTCCATATAGGTGGGAGGTACTCCGTAAGAGGACACAGCGCAGTCACGTTTCACAAGTTGTGTGGAACGGGGATACGGTTAGGGGGTTAAAGACGAGGAGAGGGAAACTTCAGGGGGGACCCCATCACGATGATATACCAGATGTTGTCGCTGACTATTTGACACAGGCTGGGTTCATACACGTGGCACGTATGAGTCATGTTCAGGTATGTAATGTTCAAATAGCTTAATTAAATTACCGTATGTGGACTTTGTATAATTGTTGTTTTTCCTTCAGATCGATACCCCCTTGATATCTGCTTTGGTTGAGCGTTGGAGACCGGAGACACACACATTTCATATGACGCAGGGAGAGATGACCGTTACATTAC